TATGATTTACAGATCTTAAAGTATGTTCAGTTTATTGATTATAGTCTCCCACGTTCACAGCCACTTTTTGGCTTGATTTTTTATAAATGTTATTTTCTATTTTATGGTGTAATGTGGTCTGTTCGGCTGATATATGAACCAGGTATGTTTGAAATATATAATCCACATAGTACAACCTGTCATTGGCGTTTCGGACTCAACTGGACGGTCTAGGCAAAAAATGACCCATAAGGACGCTAGGCTGCTCATATTGGTCAAACGTCCTTGGTTTGGTACAGTACTAAGATTGAATAAGTCGTATTTCGATTGGCGAATAAATCACGTGATAAAACAGTTACTCCATTGAGGTCGGATGGCAAGACCTCTAGAATATGTGGTGAATAGAGATTAACACTGAAATCTTGTTTGTTGTAGTAAATATACATGACGGTTGAAGCTGAAGATATTCTAAGTTGACTCCCTGGTCCTAAAGTGTTTTCGAAGGTTGGCTTAAAAGATGCTTATCTTCAAATCCCTTTAGATCAATCTTCATCTGTTTTGACAACAATCAACACTCCTTTGGGCCTGTTCAAATGTAACTTCCTCCAATTTTTTCTATGTTGTCCTCCAGCCGTATTTCAGAGAGTGATGAATAAGATGGCCATTGATTTGAAGGCGTCAAAGTTTATCAAGATGATCTCATTGTTCATGGTTCTGATAAGGTAGTTCATCATCAGAGACTTATTGCTTTATTGAGTCGTTCAATAGGGAAGAATGTTGCCGTGAATCTAAACAAGTGTTCATTTTGTGTATATAGTTTCGAATGTCTTGGAAACCTAGTTGATGGTAATGGTTTAAGACCAGATATGAAACGACTAACTCCACTGAAAAATGCGCTGTCTCCAAAAAGTCTTACAGAACTACGTTTACTATTGGGTGCTCTCCAGTACTACTCCCGTTTCATTCCAAATTGTTTTTGTCGTACAAATTGTTTATTTAATACTTTGGAATCCAATTCATTCAAATGGAGTGAGGAACAAGAGTAATGTTTACGAAGACTACTAACGTTTCCTGCAAGTGCTTCTGTTCTTCGAACTTACTCGCCCAATGTATAGTTTGCACTTATTACTGATGCATCACCTGTGGGTATTGGTGCAGTTTTGGAGCAGCAAGGTAGACCAGTTATCTGTATTTCACGCAAACTTGCTGTTTCTGAAGAAGGTTATTCACAAACTCAGCGAAAAGCATCATATTTGATTTGGGCTTCATAAATATTTTTCTGGAAAGAAATTCACTATTGTTATTAATCATGAAGCTTTATAGTTCATTTTCCATCCTGAAAAATTCTTGGCACGTTCCTCATCCGCTATTTTTCATTGATGGTGTATTGCTCTGAATGCCTATAACTACACGGTTCAGCGTAGGAGTGCCAATCAAATTCATCATGTTGACCACATTTCTCGACAACCAAGATAGATCTGTTAATACTTAAAGTGTTTGTTCGCACATCTTTTACCAATAAGACGTCCAGATCTTATTGAGAAATTCGTAAAATTTTTGGATGTATACTCGGCGCTATACGGAAAAGTTGGAATGCTTATCTGGAACGTAAATAATAACAATAGTAATTTACTCTCAAATAACAGTTTGTTACATGAGGCATGCCAGTTTACAGGCAAGATCAAATCGTTACAAATGATACAATTTCAGTTGTAGTGAATCACTCAGCTGGGTTGATAATTTATAAGATATGAATGTAAATGGTTTTAGTCAGTATCACTGTTGGCGCGCTTCATGAAAGTTGCGTTATGACGTGCAACTGATGGTTGATAATAGATTCATGTGAAGTTGAGGGCTTCTATAAATCGAAACCTTATATCCCTTTGGAATATCTGGGGCCTTAATGTTGGTGCAGAACGAGGTCGCCCGTTCCGTATCTTAAGTGGGCTAAAAAATGGTGCAAGAAAAAGAACAAAAAAGGAAGAGAAGTAAGGCAGACAATGTTCATAAAGAAATAGTTAAGGTATGACTACTAAGTCTAATTCTCTTTTATTAATGTATTTATTAAGCAGGAGCATTCTAATAGGTTACAGGAAATAAGTGTAAACAAGGTATGAGTGGATAAACAACTGGCAAATGGAAGGGATTCAAAAAGGAGCTGAAAATATGGGATTACTTGTAGTTATAAAATATAGTGCTAAAAACAGTATTATGATACGCAAATGACTGTCGCCCTTTTTCTTGTCGACGCTATTGGAGCCTTACACTCAGCTTTAGTGAGTTGCTCAAGATTTCTATCAGTGATGGGTGCAAGTTGCTCAAGTCTGCTGTGAATTTCGGATAGAGAGTTTTGTAGCTGACGGATGTCAGTACTATATCTATCAGTATTTTCGTGTGTATGAAATGAACTATTGGACTCTTTAGTTTTTGAAATTTTAGATTTAGGCCTTGATAGAACGTACTGTCTGGTAGACTGTGTTGACGTTTCGATTCACGTGGGTATAGTGTCTTGTATGTCAGCCAGTCTTACCGTTGGCATACTGCACGCAGAGATGGAGGGGCAGTAACATGGGGATTCAGGTGATGTTAGTGACATTTGTGTACAATGCGCATATCGTTCATTTGTTAAAGGTTTGACATTGTCAGGTACTGAGTCGTCAGTCATAGGGTTTGAACCTTTTATTTGACTTAGAAGTTGGTGAAATTTCTCTTTTACTGGATTTATTGGCCATGATTTGAAACTGGGTGAGTACAGAGCTCATTAAGTCAAATACAATATCTGAGTATTAGTAGTTATAAAGTATTAACCTGGTTAATACAAGGATCAGAGACTATGAGTATATATTAAATTTTAGGTCTATTTTAGACTTAAGTCCGCAAAAGGAATAATATGAAGTGGTAAGTGTCCGTCGAAAATTTTTTTTAGTTTTCAGGTAAAATGTACCCGACATACAAGATAGGATGATGGTCTCCGTATAATACACCTTACAAATGAACAAGTCGAAGAATTTCAGAACCACGTTAAAAACAGTTACCACTTTGAAATTTCGCACCGCACCACATGTCCAGTCAATTTTTCAAACATTACCTGGTTGAATGGTATAGATTGCAGATATCTGTTCACTGCTCTCAGTGAATTTTGTTCTAGTGGTCAGGCAGAAAATTCGTCAGGAGATTGAAAACTGCCATTGATTCTATTGCCGCTTTAATATTTAATGAACTGGAGAGGAGAGTAGATATGTTTTTACTGCAATACAGAAATGCTAAGCATTTTGTAGCGAAAGAGACTCTACCAAAGCTATTAAAAAAATTCTTCATCCAAATATGAGGTGTTTGTAGTCTGTAGAATTTAGATGTCGTGAAAATAATCTTTGACCGGCCATGGGGATTGTGGTGAAGAATTTTGGGAAGTCTAAAGTGTGAAATTTAGATATCAATGATATAAGTACACACAACGGGTATGTTGATCAAATACAATCCCAGGAACCTGGCGAGTCTGTTTCAATTTCGGTTGTTAATTTTAATACTGAGTACATTATATATAATATGGAGTATACATCCAATACACAGTCGGACAGACGCATGATCAACCTAAGGAGAAGACGTACAATCGATTACAAAAACTTGGATACTAGTTTAAGCTGTGGCAGTTATAGTATTTGTATGAACCAGTGATTTCTTTGTACTTTATGACTATCTAATTTCGAATTCTAGATGCAATGCGTTCATTTGTGGTCTTATAGTTCCATTTGCCATAAATTGTAGTTCGTGTAATAATTCAAATTCTTTTAATTGTCACGGTAGACATATTTCGTAATTGGTTTTTGTTATTATCTATACTTTTCATCAATTCTTACAATTTGTACAGTTGTAATTACATGACCGGTTTAAGTGCACATATGTAGAAGTATAGTCTATTACGATATTAGTACTGCTGTAATAATAGACCTAGTCATAAAATGGTAGATGTCAATGCCTAATTTATAAGATCTTACGTGGAAGTCACATCATCATTGCATCTTAACAATCACCAATAAACGATATAGGAGCTTAGGCTAGAGACAGAATAATATATATAATATGAATAAAAGATATTAGGTAACATTCAACAGGAACCACGCCTGTAAGTCTGAGCCATGACATCCGATCAACTCGAATTCCTTCGATTCATTGTGCCCGCCTTTTCTATCGTTGAGTTTTTCACTGCGTTAAATGTTGAACATCTATTTCCTCAGTTGTCCCGTATTCAGCTTTGAGAATTGTGTGGTTAGGGTTCAATTCCACTACACATGTAACATGACACATGGATTGTCTCTCACAAACGCTCTACTGTACACACAGGCTTTTCTAATTTTTGCACAGACCAATCTATTTATTTTTTGCAAACAACGTTTTGACCTTGTCACTTACTGACTTATTAACTCCGACTATGTGTGTTGATCGCTTATACTATTCATTACGTGTATGTAACTTATTTTTGGTCTGACAATCAATATTGAATACCTCTTGATCTAATGGAGTTGGCTCACTTGTCTCCTACGATCCGCTTCGCTCTCCCCTCTTCGTTTCGTTTCCCTGATTTTTTGTTCAAATCAATGAGTGCATAAAATATACGCGTTTAAAAATTCATTCTCGTATTTGACTTACTTTTACTCCATAACTTAATAATGAGATTTAAGTCGATGGTTATGTATGAGGATTAGCGATATATATATTTCGATGGCAATCAGCATACAATCCAACTATTCAGATACAGAGCCACTGAGAGCTGTCCTAGGTTAGGGATTATCTAGGTCTTCTGGTACCCTAATATCTAGATGTTCTTAAGAACTCCGAACGGTACGCCATAATAATACATTAATTCTTCATTTATTTCTGTTCGCTTCATATACCGAGGCCTCTACATAGTTATTCACTGCTATTAGACAATATAGTGTAGCGATGATTTGGATCACATGAACTCAATGTACAAAACATTGGCAATTGTCAATTGGACACCTTACCAAGGTCAATGCCAACGTATAATTAGGCGGTACCAACAAGTTCTGTGTAAACGTGTCTGTAAGAGTTTGTGTTGTTATCTTGGTTTTTTTTGACATCCGGAACTAGTCTCTTCATAGAACAAAAGCCCTCTTGTTAAATTTGAATCAGTAGAATGGGTTTTACTTCCATAGTAAACAAATCTCCATTGCAATCTTAGCAATATTTGCTCATCGAGGAGGGAACTAATCATGTACAATATCCGGTTACCAATTCCTTTGGAAATATCTTTTAGGCGGTGTACATGGGATCATAAGTGTAATATAAAGATCATCCATCTAACTTCAGGTAAATCTTGTCGGTCTCAAGATTACCAACGTTTGACTTGATAAAAAAGGCTGAAAAATATTATAATAAGTGATAAAGCTCTTGACGGGTTATGTTATAGTTTTTTACGAATGTTTCCTTTGTGTTGGAAAACGTTTCGTAAAATTTCTGGCTTTCTCTATCGAACTTGATTTCGGGGATGTCTCTTGTGCCATCCAGATGATGGTTGTCTTGCTAAATTGGGATGGAACTTTATTTCCACGAAAGACCCTCCAGTGTTTACCTATATCTGCCAAAGATGGTCATTTGGTGATTTTCTGGTTAGCTATACTAAGGGACTGGTGGTAAATTAACCGTATGTAAATTGGCAAATCCCTTAAATAGTTGCTCACAGAATTGATTACTAGCAGGGGTCTTCAGTCACTTTTGATCCTTCGTATCTTTATTTTTCATTCCGGGTATCATTTCAACCAATTGTGTTGTGATTGCGTCAAAAATATAGTTATATAAAATGCCCTGAATTTCACTAAACCACCTGAAAGTTCAAAATGATATATATGTCAAAAGACAACATGGAATCTGTCCATAAATTCAATGACTATTGAACTGAATTGTGTCACTCACTACAGGAACTTTGGTTGCTACACGTGATATATCTGTACTCTGTGGTTCGTTCTCTTCAAAGTAAATTAAACAATATCATATCTATTGACCCTAAAGTTATTCTTTCTCCTTTGCTTCTCGTCTTTTTAATTTCCACCCACTGTGCTGATACAAGGTATAAAAACATAGGTCGATATACGTTCTTACCAGGTTCTACGAAATCTCGTTGATTGATGGACCAATAGTATGTTACGGTACCAACAGACTTTCTTACTGCATTTGTTCAGACTTGCTTTAGATTGTCTAGCATATCATTGTGTAGCGTAGCACATCATGTAGGCTGAGTATATCAAAATAAGTATCAATGAGGTAGATGGGTAAGCCCGTATTTATTTCTAGTTCTTAAGGTTTCCATTTACCTGAGGTATATAAGATATTAAACACCAAAACAAACTTTTAATTCTGTTCCGGATCTACTCACATTAGATAACTACCGTCTGTCCAATAACTTGCCTTAAATGTCTTTCCGTCAAAATCACTCTTACATTGTATCTTTTAAGAACAGTTTGGTGGTTTTTTCTCATGTTAAATGGTCTCAAGGAAGCTATGTTTGTGTTTTATGGTTTTGAAAACAGAATTAAAGTATGGATAGTGTGTGGTAGATATTTCAGGTACTAATTTTTCTCAAACCTTAAGCATTTGTGATGAAGTTTGTTTTGTTTAACAAGCTGTACTTTCATAACATACGCTTCCTTAGTATTGATTCTTTTCTTTAGCTTTTCTAAACTGCCAATGAAAGTCAAAGAGTTGGAAAAATTTGCTCATTCGGCCTGGTCACCCCTTTCATGCAATCGTACTTATTTGGCAACTGTCACCGCGGAAGATGATCGCGAGGCAACTGACTCAAATATAAATACTAGGTAAGCGTGTTTGTTCAGGCAGTTGCTTCGAAAGTGATCTAATTGAGTATTAATGTGAAAATATTCACACTATCTGAGAATGACATATACTGGAATGTTAAGCTTTTTGATTGTAGTCTCGTCCTGATTTTTTGATGATAACGAAATAAGACCATTGTTGACACCCTGAATCAGTGCGTGGTTTAACCGTAGGAGGTGAAGTAGTCGAACAACCTAACCATTTCCCTTATCTTCATTATGTTAGCTTCGGTAACCTGATTGATGACAAAATCTCGGAACAGATACCAAAGGGTCATTTCGATTTTACTAACCTAGGCCATTTGTGTCTCGGTCAAAGTGATAAGATACTCTTCAGTAGTTCTTTTTGTATTACCCTATGAGTATAAAGCATGACATTTGAAGATACAAGTGCCGGTTACGAGTATTTGATCATATTCGGCTTTCGAGCATTATTCCTATATCCTTGATCCACCAAGTCTATAATTTGGGGGTTGTATATCAGTCATTTAGCTATGTTAGTCAAACTAATCCCTCTATGGTTGTTACAGGATGATTTTGATGCATTCTTATATTGAGACAATCAGTAATTGCGACCAGTCAAATGGGATTACATCCAGTTCCCAGATTTTAGTTAAAATATAAGTCAACCTAATCGCTGAAACTGGATCACCATACTTAAAGTTTTCTAGAGCCAATCCATCTGGATCAGCTGCTCTTCCTCGTTTCAGATTAGCTATTGCTTTGTGAATTTCAGACAGATTCGGGGGACTTACTTCAATGTTCCGTTCAGGCTGTCTGGGAATGGTGGGTATCTGTAGAGTGGCTGAAGGCCAGCTGAACTGTTCTCTAAAGTGTTCCTCCTATCGTTCTAAACGTCAGGGCTGAGAGTAGATAAAAGCGTGTTCTTTTTCAGAGGCCGTATAATTTACACTTGACTTTTTAGTTCCAGTTTCGTTATTAGTCTGAAAAACTCTGGTGTTACATACAACTGCTACATTTTCCATCATTTTGTTTTCGTTGCCCACCACTACTCAAGGTCGTTCCTTAGACTTCTGCTTAACCTAGATCTGATTTGTTTTCGCTCTTCCTTGTGTTCATAGCCTAATGGGATGAGTTTACGAGAATCCATCAATGCACTAGACTTAGTAGAAATCCGCTGGTTTTTCGTAACCCTTTGGTGCAAATTACTAATAGGTGTCGCTGTTGTTTCCACAGCTGTTTGTATATCTTACCAAGCAACATCTGGGTCAATTTCGTCTTCAAAACTGCCCAAGTGTGACCTAAGTTTTTCCTGGAATCTATTTTTGGCTTCATCGTCACTGAGTTCGACTCTAATGAGTCTTCTTAATATGGTTTTTTCGCGTCCAGTGAGGCGCAAGCAAATGCTTGTTCATATTAGAGCATAATCAGAGTCTAAGCACATACTCCAGAACGATCGGCAGTCTTCTATCGAGCCTCTCCAACGATAACTGATGGCAATATGAGTCCATCATTGGTTTGGTTCAGGCGGTCGCCATATTAGACGATGTCTCTCTTTATGCTTAACGTTAGTACTTGCTGAAAATAGACGATCGTCTGAGCACAGTTGCAGTAGACGGTTGCCATTATCTGTTCACTGAGCCGGAATACTAAAATACCTACCTAAATATCCTTCTGTTTGGTTTAAGCTACCTACTTAGGCATTAAAGTCACCTGTTACGAGTACCATGTCTGAGCGTTTAGCTTTTTGAAGAAGTTCAGAAGGCTTTCTGTAAAAGTCACCTTTCACTTCATCCGGTTTGCAGTTAGTGAGGGCGTAGGCAGAAATGACGAAAAAGAAACGATGTATGTTCCTATCCTTCCAATTTCTTACGGAGCCGTTTAGTTGAACAGCACATGGACGACTGTTAACGGGGAACCACTATATTAGTACTTGTTCTGCCCTCGTACTCAGTTCTATGCCTATACATTCGAGTCTACGAGGATTAGCCATCAGGTTGCCAGATACACGGAAAGTGTATCTCGTCGACTCTCCGTTTTGGCGAGATGAGGTTTTAGCCAAGGAGGTCTGTTGGCCGATTTGACATAGGGTGCGTGCGTTGAAGACTCCAATGTGTAGTTTGGAGCGAGATTTCAGTAGACCTGGGACTGTATTTCACACACTAGAATCGTTGGCTATGTTGACACTTGAGGAAGAAGTCAAAAGAGGAAGTTTGGAGTTGAAGGTTGACACATTCTAAGCTACTGAAGTTTACAACAATAAGAATTATCCAGATTGTATTCAGTAAGAAATGCATGAATTGAATGATTCAAACATACCATACAGACTTGTAGCCAGGAAAAAGCGTTTTTCATTGGATATAAATGTTTTTGTTTCTACTGTAAAATTAACTGCCACAAAGTATTTTCATACATAAATTATTACGATGAGTTATTATAAGGAATTCGGTAGCTGTAATTTCCTAAAGATTCTTATCATTGAATTTTCACTGATTCACGTTCTCTATATGACTGTATATTTCTCTATGAATAGCCGCCAAATGTCCTGGTATGACCGAGAGTGGGGAGAGGTAGCTCTCTCACGAAATGCTCTCACATGGCTACGCGCATACAACCACTGCCAGGGAAGTACTACTCACTGCCTTCTGGCGACCGGGGTGTTGTTTACGAAATTGAGAGGATGAAAAGTGAATGTCCAGCTCTTTAACTGTGTTGGTGGATATGAAGGGTCTACCTAGGAGAGTTGGAAAACCCTAATTCCAAACCAGTGGTGCACATGGGCTCCAGTATCCTGAGGGAACAAATGGTGTGTGAACCAATTGTTGGTCACCGGCTACCATGTGACTGCACCTCCTGACCTTGCCCCGCTGCCTTACAGATTAGACCTTTAGGTCAGGGACTCGGGATGTGGCCCCCTACGGAAATCACCTGCTTCGGTTTGAGCACCCGGGCAGTATCCCACCCCTTACACAAATCGAATGATTTATATGGCGCATATCTATTTAGTACCTCCTTGTACCAATGTTTATGTGTTTAAATAAATAAATTCTTTATGATTTCATTATATCTTTTATCATTTAGCATGACTTCTCCAACATTAGATATTTATGAATTCAATGTTAAAGAAAATAATCTGTCTATGCAAATGAATATTAGTTTACAAATTAAACAAAAGTAAGTCAATGTTTTATTCCCTTTAAATGCTTCATTTTAAATGAAAATTTAAAAGAATGTTGTTACATGTACAAGTATGATAAATATTTAACAAATTCATTGTGATCACCTTTTTTAAAATCATCTAAATTTGGCTTGACCTAGTATGAAAGCTAATAATACTATCTGGTTGGGTAAACATCAATAGAAGGGGGTAGGTTTCGAACCCAGAACTTTGTGGTTGAAAGTTAAGCTTCTTAACCACTAAGCTATCAATTACCGCTTAATCTGTTTATTTAAAGCGCTATCGCACTACCATGGATCAAACATTATTCGTAAATTAAACTACAATTAAATAAGCTATAGGAAAGTTCCTTTTTTTTAAATTGTGGTTTGTATTTAACAATATGATTTATCCTAAGAATATCCTGATACACCCATGCTTGAATCAAGTGTAATTTCTATCTTCAAATACATTTATATGGATATGTGTTTATAATCCATACCATGAAATCCCTTTCCTTCATGTAACATCTATATTTCTACAAAAGTGGAAAGCTAATGCAAACTTCCAGTACTGATTATTTTATTTATTTTATTTTAACACATAAGTATAGGTACAGGGAGGCACCAAATACATATGCGCCACACAAATCTCAATTGATTTGTGTGAGGGCTGTGATACTGCCCGGGTGCCCAGACCGAAGCAGGTGGTTCTCTTAGGGGACCACACCCCGAGCCTTTGACCTAAACGTCTGACCCACAAGGCAGTGGAGCATCGTGAGGAGATGCAATCCCATGGTAGCCGGTGACCAAGAATTTGGTTCATACGCCATTTGTTCCTTCAGGATACTGGAGCCCATTTGCACCATTGGTTTGGGGTCCGTTTAAAGCGCCGGACATTCGCTTTTCGTCCTGTCATTTTCGTAAACAACAGTAATGCCACGAGAAGGCAATGAGTAGTACTTCCCTGGCAGAGGCTATATACGCATGGCCATGTGAGGTGAGTGCATTTGGAGAGGGAGAGCGGACTCTCCCCACTCTCAGCCGTACCAGGGCAAATCGAAGCGTGAATAGTATTTTCGGTAAATATCGTCATTTCATTTTATTTGTATGTGGGCTATGATACTGCCCGGGTGTTCAAACTGAAGCAGGTGGTTTCCGTAGGGGGCCACATCCCGAGTCCCTGACCTAAAGGTCTAATCTATAAGGCAGAAGGGCAAGATCAGGAGATGCAGTCACATAGTAGCTGGTGACCAACAATTGGTTCACACACCAGTTGTCCCTTCAGGATACTGGAGCCCATGTGCATCATTGATTTGGAATTAGGGTTTTCCAACTCCCCTAGGTGAAATCACCGTGTCCACTGTCCCGGTTAAAGCACCTGACATTCTTTTCGTCCTCTCAATTTGGTAAAAAACACCCCGGCCGCGAGAAGGCAGTTAGTCGTAGTAGCACTGAAATGAGATAAATAGAAATGGTAATTCATCCAGCTCATTAGAGTTAAAAAACTGTAGTTTCCTTTCCGTTTTACGTAGAACATTTCTTAGTTCCGTGTTTGTTTTACTATGCTTTATCATAATTATTATTCCATCTTCTAGTCTTAATGCAATAGTTCATTTTTAAAAAATCCTACTGTACATGTGTAAAGTTTAGTAGAAAAATGATGCTAATTGGGATATTTCAAGTCAAGTCGATAAGTGATAATCTCAACTTATTCACTGACTGATATATGGTTTATATGACTAGAAAACTTCAGATAAATAGTATTTTATTGAAAGTAGGGAAACGTGAAATGTTTTGTTATCTGTTATTAAGTGGGGTTTTTTTCTACTCGAAATTGCATTGTTGAGTGATGATTGTCTTAAATTATTTTATTGAATTAATTCATTCTCCTGATATTTCAGTATGAGCCAAACTCGATGCGTAAGCGCTAATGATATACTTCTCGGTTGCTGAAATCAGATTAGGTGGAGCAGAGCACGAATATGATGCTTATTAACTGAAAGTCGATTGGCGTAATCATTAATCCCTCACTCCTCGATGATTTGGTGATAGTTAAGTTAGTTGTGCTGTTAAATATCTATGTTTTCTAGTGACACCATATTGTCATTTAATGATGAAAGACCAATGCATTTAGCCAGTAAGTTAGCCCTCAAATGCCCTGGTATGGCCGAGAGTAGGGTGGGCCCGCCCTCCCTCTCCAAATGCTCTCACACGACCACGCATATACAGCCTCTGCCAGGGAAGTCCTACTCACTGCCTTCTCGTGGCACCGGTGTTGTTTACAAAAATGAGAGAACGAAAAGCGAATGTCCGGCGCTTTAACCGGATACCAAACTAACGGTGCACATGGACTCCAGTATCCTGCGAGAACAAATGGCCTGTGAACCAATTTTTGGTCACCGGCTACCATGAGACTGCATCTCCTTACGATGCTCCACTGCCTTGTGGATCAGACGTTCAGATCGAAGGCTCGGGGTGTGGCCCCCTAAGAAAACCATCTGTTTCGGTTTGGGCACCCGAGCAATATCACAGCCCTCTCACAAATCAAATGAGATTTGTGTGGCGCATATGTATTTGGTGCCTCATTGTACCAATATTTATGTGTTCAAATAAATAAATAATAAAATTCAACAAGTTACAGGTTTCAGCCCCACCCTTTTACTTCTGTTTGGACAACCAGGTGATACAATTGGCTATTTTATTCAGAGTATAGTTCAAAGCTAAATATACAAATTTGTATCTGGTTGATTAGTGAATAAAATAAAAATGCAGAGAATTTTTATCAAATATTCCAACATCAGTTAACCTAGGTAGCCTTCATTTGTCAACACATCTATGTATAGTACTCTCAAACTTTCTCCTACAAAATTTTATACAGACTACTAGTCAATGAAGGTAGTATTAAAAAAAGAACGTGATGAAATTATTGTTTCAACTTACTAGTTTTTATTATTTATTTCCTTTATTCATATTTACTACCTACCAGTTTAAAGTACAATATCTAGACTCATAGAAATACTTCTAATTATCCGTAACTAATAATAGTTTAGTTAGAGTAAAATTGTTTAATCTTACTGTCAGTTATGTTGTATAGATGTGCATTTACATATGTCTAATCGAAATAACATATCGAACTTGTAATTATTTACTTAAGATACTATTCATAGGTATTTAGGTATTCACCACCGGTGTATTCCTGTGTATATATATGTATATATTACCCCGAACTTATTGATCTGTTCTATTTTATGACAGTTTATATTTCCTTTTACGCCTCTTTCACCGTATAACCAGTATATTGGATAAATGACTATTTATCTTATAGTTTATTGTCTTCAAGAAATTTCTAGGTCTTCATACTACATATCAGTAGATAAATATCAGGGGCGGCTTTGTATTTGTGTGTAGAAGAATAACCATATTTCATATATTTAGTGAAATCATATGTATATATATTTTAATGTGTATTGTAGTTAATAGTTCACTTGTTTTTACATTTTCGTAATTGACATTATTTAGTCAGAACTTAAAACTAATTATCCACTGATATGTTATTATTCATGGAAAAATAAATGAGGCGGCCAGACCAAAACATGGCACAAATCCATGAAGTCACTGACAAGTGGACTAAACCATATTGGTAGGTATAGACTACCTGGTTGGGATCCGCGAGACAATATCAACCGATGGTTAGAGATCTTGAATGACATGGCTCAAAATTGTTTGCGATGGCGCAGGTGCATCCACTCTTTGTGTTCTCCTTAATTCTAATCTCAATTCTTCCTGTTCCTTCTTTTTGCTTTCCGAATTTATTTCACTGGATTATACCCATTGAATAACATCTTCATACCCTAATCTTTCCGATTACTGCTTATACTTTTATTACTTCTACCAATACAGGATTTGAATCGGCAACTGCATCTCTATGCTAATGTGGTATGGCAACTCGAACTGATGTACGTACGTACGTACGAAGTTCTACGTTGTTGCTGACTGACTGACTAAGGCCAGTTACATTTCAAACGGTTTTGTGATATCATATTGCACTACTTTACTAAATGACCCAAATTTACATTCTGATGTTATTTTTTATTTATTTTAACACATAAGTATAGGTACAGGGAGGCACCAAATACATATGCGCCACACAAATCTCAATTGACTTGTGTGAGGGCTGTGATACTGCCCGGGTGCCCAAACCGAAACAGGTGGTTTTCTTAAGGGGCCACACCCCGAGCCTTTGACCTAAACGTCTGACCCACAAGGCAGTGGAGCATCGTGAGGAGATGCAATCCCATGGTAGCCGGTGACCAACGATTGGTTCACACGCCATTTGTTCCTTCAGGATACTGGAGCCCATGTACACCATTGGTTTGAGGTCCGGTTAAAGCGCCGGACATTCGCTTTTCGTCCTCTCATTTTCGTAAACAACACTGATGTCACGAGAAGGCAGTGAGTAGGACTTCCGTGGGAGAGGCTATATACGCATGGCCATGTGAGAGCATTTCGAGAGGGAGAGCGGACTATCCCCACTCTCGGCCGTACCAGGGCATTTGGGGGTTCTTCATGTGTTTAGTGTGATAACGATTACCAATTAAATATGTTATTTTTCGTTGTACTAGTTTTTATTTCAAGTAACTGATGTACTGAGTACAGGTTTATGTATTCAACTTTGGGTCATAATTTGTGTGTGGGTCATTGATATTATTCAGTTTCTTATACCAAAGTAGGTGGAGAGAAATTTACTCCTGTGTACTACTGGTAAAAAGTTGAGCACTTAGTCATTAAGCCACCACTTAGTAATTCTTGGTTAGTTGTTCAGCATATTTTTTGGGACTAATTTATCTCGAATGACCTGCCTTATATGAGTGAAGAATGCCTACTCATAGTTTGCTTTGCTCTGTTATGATACGAGTGAACCGATGTTAATTTTTAGAAAGTAAATACAGATTTATTCATAACTTTGATTCACCAATGGTCATTTGTGCTGTCTTCACTAGAGAATTGAAAATTTCTGTCGTGGTAAATATCGATATTAACCGGGTGACTTCGAACAATTTCCCAATTTGTAAGTGCTATTTGTCACTGATCGACATCAGTTGGGATCCCTTTTTAGAAGGAATATACACTAGATTGCTGTTTCACTTCAGTTTGGAACCTATCAACAATGAATACCTACAATCTCTAGGAATCAAATCTAGGATCATAAGGTCTCTCTAAGCATCCCCAGAATTTATAGAACTGAGTTGGATAATTGTTGTTTTGTAACGCAAAATAACGGAAGTCGGATATGTAGACCATTGAATTAAAGCTAATTAATTCAAAAGTATCAAGATCACCACAAAACCTGAAGGTTTTGAATTCGACTCCTAAAGGATTCATGCGTATGCAGTACTGAAGTAGCCTAAATTACAAGAAAGCAGCTGCCTAGTATTCCTCGATTTTCACTGATACACCAGTTGATATCGATTAATCTACAACTTAAAATAATATCCACAAAGCATCTTAACCAAAGTATGGCTTCCAGCTGTTATTTCCTTGTTTTCTACTGTTTAATGTGACATACTCATCTGGTTATTTTTTCAATATTGCAAATAACTAAGCTTCAAAAATTGGCTTTGGACAATGCTTTGATATGAATCAATAGTATGTATTATCGATTCATTGTTCCCTATCTTATATGAAATCCTCTTGTCACTTTTGACATTTCGGTTAATTTTCCAATCGATTTTTATTTATTGACTTATAATACAAAAACTCGGCACAATAGGTCATTGAATGAATGTTTAGCACAAAATGGATCTGTCGATCGATATTCATTGTGAATGAATCACTATGCATTACTATATTCATTTATTCTTATATTAAGTTATAACATTTAGCAGTACTCTGTGATATTCACAGTTCAATGGACAAAAGCTACTAAACAACGCCATCTCTCTTCTATGGTTGTTGTACATGTATTTCTATCCGTGTGGCTTGCCTAAATTATTATTTGTTTTTGTCGTTATCAGTAAACCTTCTTTCAGAGAATTGTCTTTTGAAGTATTTGAGGGCTAGAATAGAAAAGAAATCTGTAGCATTCAATTATTGAAGCGAAGTTAGACGTTATTTCTGTTGGTTCAAGATACAACATTAACATGAAACATCTATCATAACCTTTAATTGTGAGGGTTTGAATCTTCTCATTATTGTTATTAGGGAGTACTATTGATAAGTTTATTTGAGAATATAGGCATCTTGACTGGATTACCCGAATACTACCATCCATTTACATCCATTTCTAATCAGAGATCAATATTAGCTAGTCATACGGATGTACATACATCACACTGGTGTTTTAAAGTGATCTTATTACCATTTTATCCTGTAAGTTCATTCTTTGTTTACTCATTATATTGTCCATGAATAATCATTTTCATTATCGTTAATACTTTTATTACTCTACAATTAGTCTTGATAATTTCATATTTCTAGAAGTTTAAATCGATATGTGGTGTATGCTACTTATATTGACAGATATAAGTAGTATGTAACATGAATTTGAAGTAGAATGTTTAGTAGCAGAAGATTGAAAAGATCGAATTAAGAAGAACAGGAATGTAGATAAAGTGTAATTGTAATAACAACAGGAATGAAAGAACTATGAGGTTTGTTAGAGACAACTGATGAAAGATGTGCAAATAAAGTTGTTATAATCCTCTCTTTATTACATCCTGGCTATTATTATTGCTTAGTATTCTTGGACACCAATTCACTCGAAAAGTCCCCAAGTCAGAACACGGTTGAGCAGGAAAAAGATTATATTCCAAATAATAAGGTTAGATGGAAGTAAAAAACTTAGTAGGAAAAACGTTAGTGTATTTTTAGTTTTTACATGAGATTCTAGAATGTTCTCCGAGTATCGACTAACACTGATTGGATAAGAATTAGCCGAACAGCGTGCGCCAACGCAATCATGCATGGAGCATGCTTTAATCCGATCTATGTCTCGCTAACACCTCCCCTTTGAGCAGATTCGTAGGATCTGGTGTTAGGGTCCAACTGCCTGTGCTTTCGATTCATCCATCGTCTAGGAAATAAAGAAGTTGTATCACTCTTTGTTTGCACAGAAAGTGACCTGTCTGTCTCAGTCATTTTTATTTCAAAGGTGTTTAGCAGGACTTCAAGAGGTATTCGATATTGAGTCTCGTTGCTGTCTATCAAAGTTGCTTTCAATTGGTTAGCCTGATGTACCCAAACTTCTGAGCCAACTGATACCTCATAAACCATATTCCCTTTCCTTTTCAAGATCCGACCAGCTGTTCATGTAGGATGTTTTCCACGATAGTCCAAAGCAAGTACTTTTTAACCGACCGTGAACAATCGTCTTTGTGGCTCCATGATATCGATTGAACTACTTCTCAATCGATAAGTTTCGTTGAGGCTCAAAAGCTGGCATAGGACGGACGACATCGAAATGTGTTCATATTTTTCTGCCAAGTAGAGTTTCTGCTGAAGAGATCACGTTAATCGTCTCAGAGTTCAATCTAACGATAAATAAGCATAAACCTCTTTGACCTCTCTTCGGTAATCCCCTCCCCTTTAGATTTTTCTAGAGCATTTTTTTTAAATGTACTAACAAAGCGTTCCACTTGATCATTTGATTGGGGATAGTATGGAGATGTTCAAACAGAAGTATCTTATGTATGATTTTCATATTTTATGAAGTCACTTTATAATTTTTCATTAAACAATAAATTGATTGTACCTATCTGAATTGATCATTCATTATATATATATATATATATATATATATATATATATATATATATATATAACATCTGAAGGGAAGCACGGGATACAGTGGATAGCTAGGATGCAATTGGATGATCTAGACTTCGCAGATGATCTGGCTCTTCTATCGCATACGCAACAACAAATGCAGGAAAAGACAACCAGTGTAGCTGCAGCCTCAGCAGCAATAGGTCTCAATATACACAAAGGGAAAAGCAAGATTCTTTGATACAACACAGCATGCACCAATCCAATCACAATTGACGGAGAAGATTTGGAAGATGTAAAAATCTTTACATATTTGGGCAGTATCATCGATGAACACGGTGGATCTGATGCAGATGTGAAGGCACGGATTGGCAAAGCAAGAGCATCATATTTACAACTGAAGAATATCTGGGACTCAAAACAACTGTCAACCAACACCAAAGTCAGAATTTTCAATACAAATGTCAAGACAGTTCTACTGTATGGGGCGGAAACCTGGAAAACTACGAAATCCATCGTCCAAAAGATACAGGTGTTTATTAACAGTTGTCTACGCAAAATACTTCAGATCCGTTGGCCGGACACTATTAGCAACAACCTACTGTGAGAGAGAACAAATCAGATCCCAGTGGAGGAAGAAATCAGGAAGAAGCGCTGGAAGTGGATAGGACACACATTGAGGAAAGCACCGAACTGCGTCACAAGACAAGCCCTCATATGGAACCCTCAAGGTCGAAGGAAGAGAGGAAGACCAAAGAATACATTACGCCGAGAAATGGAGATAGATATGAGAAAAATGAACAAGAATTGGATGGAACTTGAAAAGAAGGCCCAGGACAGAGTGGGTTGGAGAATGCTGGTCGGCGGCCTATGCTCCATTGGGAGTAACAGGCGTAAGTAAGTAAGTAAGTATATATATATATATACCTATGCCAAATTTTACATAGATTATATCTGACAAACTTATTAATGATAACAATTGATAAATTCATTGAATTTTTCTTCTTCTTTTTCTTAATTTATCAATAGAGCTACAAGTTTATTATGGACAGCACCTATAAATAATGATCATTTAGATATTGGTTTACTTATTATTGGTTCCATGTCAGGTAGTTTATATTTATATGATAGTCATAAATTAATTTCTATGAATCAACGTATATCATCTTCACAGATTAATACTAATACTATTCATAAATCATATCCTATTAATAATACCATGGATACTATTATTGATAATGATAATAATAATAATAATAATAATATAAATGATAATTCTATAATAACATTTAATCAACACTTATCATCTATTTATATTACTGAAAATAATATATCAAATTATTTGTATACATCACGTGAAAATATTCATAATAATGTTGTAAGAAGTTTGGATTTCAATCGATTTCAAGTTAGTAAATTTCTTTAGAATATTTATTCATTTTCATTTTTTTTTTCTTTTTTTTTTATAAATTAAGATCATGAATTGATCTAAGGTAGATTATCATTGAAAATCTGGAATTATGATCTTGGATTCTTTAACACTATGCATCTACAATGCCTGCATATGAGATTCAAAATCATGATTTTCAGTCTTACACACTACTGAGGAGTTCTATACTAGGACGAAACGGGTGTTTAGTTCTTTAAGGTTTTCAATGCTGATGATGTATAACATCATATTTATTGTAATGACCCGAGTGAGCTATATTGGCTGGAAAAATTGTTCCTTTAGGTTCTGCCATGTCAGACAGTTGGACTGGCGAACAGTAAAGCTAAAAGCAACAAACTCATGTGCCGAAAATTAAGTCGTACTGATGACTGTACTGAGATGTTACAACAATAAAATAACTCTCTCGACTAATCAGCATTTGCAGCGATGCAGTCTTTTCATAACGAAAAATGTCACATCTAATCCTACCTCACGGATTCCGGTCTCTGGCGGCCTTTTGAAGCATAGAGTTCTCATACTTCAAACTTCTGACAGAAAGGTCGTAAATGACTGGCCTTCAGCAGTTTTCGCCTAGACTCTGTGGTCACATTCCAAGATCTGTACGATGACTAGTAATCCAGTTTCCTTTTCACGTCTCGCAAGAAGAAATATCCCGTCAAGGTTTGAGCAACTGAGAAGTAACAGCCGCCCTCATACCTTTAACAGCACCAGAGATCCTCTTGTTCATAATGAAATTGCTTTTACTATATTTTTGGATTTCACGAATTTTGTAGTTTTAGGATTTATAGTGCATATATAGAGTGTCGATCGTTGATGGATGTGCAATGATCTGATATAATCTGCTTATGGTTGCTCACAAGGTAGAATCACTGACACAACACCTCAGATCAACTGGTTTTAAAGACAAGACCACTGGCCAACAGAATTGGGTTATTTTTTCTCTGGCAAAATAACATGTTTATTTAAAAATTATCGGGCGCTAAAGTAAACATGTACAATCATGTACAATTAAAGAATATGTTGTTTTGTAGGTCACACACCCACTATTCAAGGCGAATTAAGGTCTAGGTTTTAGACGTAATTTTTGCATTCAACATATCGCTTCTTCTAATAGATGTATGTCTACTGAGGTTGAAAGATGTTTATAGAACATGATGAGTGGATTGAAATTAGACATATAATCCATTGGATACCGCCTCATCGGACTAAAAATCCATCACTTTCATCGAGGTCGTAATGTTTGAAGTTTAAACTGCATTGGGTTCGTGGGTACACACTTTATTTTATTATTATTTATTTTAACACATAAGTATAGGTACAGGGAGGCACCAAATACATATGCGCCACACTAATCTCAATTGATTTGTGTGAGGGCTGTGATACTGTCCGGGTGCCCAAACCGAAGCAGGTGGTTTTCTTAGGGGGCCACACCCCGAGCCTTTGACCTGAACGTCTGACCCGCAAGGCAGTGGAGCATCGTGAGGAGATGCAGTCTCATGGTAGCCGGTGACCAACGATTGGTTCATACGCCATTTGTTCCCGCAGGATACTGGAGCCCATGTGCACCATCGGTTTGGGATCCGGTTAAAGCGCCGGACATTCGCTTTTCGTCCTCTCATTTTTGTAAACAACACCCCCGCCACGAGAAGGCAGTGAGTAGGACTTCCCTGTCAGAGGCTATATACGCATGGCTATGTGAGAGCATTTCGAGAGGGAGAGCGGACTCTCCCCACTCTCGGCCGTACCAGGGCATTTGGGGGCGGGTACACACTACCGAACTGAGATGTCTCATACCTGGGTAAAACGATTATCCAGTACTTCCAGGCTTTCAATCATTGTCTTGTTAACATCAATCTATCATGTAAAGTATTCATTTTCTTTCTATCGTAATTCTTCTCATTCTTCTTTTGTAACAGACAAATCTTTTTGCTTCAGCATCAAACGATGAAGAAATATTTATTTGGGATGTTGGAAAAATGGAACATCCAATGTCACCTGGTTCAAAAATACAAGTAAGTAGGTTTTATAAGATCAAAAAATAGATAGAAGTGTGGAATTTAATGCTTCTTGATGAAAATCGTTCTTTTTTCTTCATCATTATTTTAAATATTGAGTGAAATATTACTTGATGAAACTATGGATGTGTGTGCATGTATGTAACGAAAGGAACTGTCGATTTTGTAAAGTTTATTTGTATATTTATAAAGTCACTGATTTCTACTCGCTTCATCCTACCTAATGGATATTCAAAGGTTACTAATATTCAATCATAGGTGTCTTCGAAGCACCATTCGTGCATTTTGGGACCATCACATGAAGAAGGCTGAGTTTATGAGTAAGGTATTGAGTAAGAATAGTGAATTAATTTATAAGATAGTCCGTTAGTCCTCAAGGTTACACCATACGAGGCTTACCCGTGGACCAAGATGACCAAGCTTATCGTACTCATCAAAAGGGGAAAAATACAGGCGATTGGCTAAGAAGTGACCAATCAGCACTAATGAGGGAAGAGTCTGGAATCTTCTCGTGTAAGATTATAAATATACTGACGTTCTTCTTATTGTAGTTCTTCCTCCTACTCTACTTTGTTTATTTGGAATGTAATTACTTTCCTATTCAATCATATTCCGATTTGGGAAATAGTTGAATGAAATGTTCGACGAATACTTAGCAATAAGAATACCTTACTTACTTACTTACTTACACCTGCTACTCCTCGTGAAGGAGCATAGGCCGCTCACCAGCATTCTCCATCCAACCCTGTCCTGGGCAATCCTTTCAAGCTCTTTCCAGTTCTTATTCATCCCTTTCATATCTGCTTCTATTTCCCGACGTAATGTGTTCTTTGGCCTTCCTCTTTTCCGCTTCCTTCAGGATTCCAAGTTAGCGCTTGTCTCGTAATGCAGTTTGATGATTTCCTCAATGTATGTCCTATCCATTTCCATCGTCTTTTCCTAATTTCCTCTTCAGCTGGAAGCTGGTTGGTTCTCTCCCACAGAAGGCTGTTGCTGATCGTATCCGACCAATGGATGTTGAGTATCTTCCGTAGACAACTATTGATAAATGCTTGTACATTCTTGATGGTGGTTGTTGTAGTTCCCCAAGTTTCAGCTCCGTACAATAGAACTGCCTTGACGTTGGTATTGAAGATTCTGACTTTGATATTGGTTGAAAGTTGTTTTGAGTTCCATATGTTCTTCAGTTGAAGGAATGCCGCACTAGCTTTGCCAATCCGCGCCTTGACGTCTGCATCTGAACCTCCTTGTTTATCGACGATGCTTCCCAGGTATGTGAAGGATTCCATATCTTCCAGAGTTTCGCCATCAAGAGTGATTGGATTGCTGTTCTCCGTGTTGTGTTTGAGGACCTTGGTTTTCCCTTTGTGTATGTTGAGGCCTACTGATGCGGAGACTGCTGCTACTCTGGCTGTCTTTATCTGCATTTGTTCGTGTGTATGTGATAGGAGGGCTAGGTCATCTGCGAAGTCCAAGTCGTCTAATTGGTTCTGAGCTGTCCATCGTATGCCGTGGTTTCCCTCAGATGTCGAGGTCTTCATAATCCAGTCGACCACCAGAAGAAACAGGAAGGGAGAGAGTAGACAGCCTTGTCTTACTCCGGTCCTTACTTGGAATGCGTCAGTCATCTGTCCTCCATGCACTACTTTGCACTGTAGTCCGTCGTATGAGTTCCGGATAATGTTGACAATCTTCTCAGGAACTCCGTAGTGTCGAAGAAGTTTCCATAACGTCCTCCTATCTACACTGTCAAATGCCTTCTCATAATCAATGAAGTTGATGTACAGTGACGAGTTCCACTCAATTGATTGTTCGACAATGATCCGTAGTGTCGCAATCTGGTCTGTGCACGACCTATCCTTACGGAATCCAGCTTGTTGATCTCTAAGTTGGGCATCTACTGCGTCTTTCATCTGGTTCAGCAACAATCTATTAAAGACTTTCCCTGGTACTGACAGTAGTGTAATGCCTCTGTAGTTTTCACACTTGCTCAGATCTCCTTTCTTTGGGATCTTGATGAGGTGTCCTTCTTTCCAGTCCATCGGCACTTGTTCCTCCTCCCAAAGCTTCTTGAATAGAAGGCGAAGCATGTTTGTGGTTACTTCGATGTCTGACTTCAGTGCTTCAGGTGGTATATTGCCGGGTCCTGCTGCTTTCCCAATTTTGATTTGTCTGATGGCCATTCTGATTTCTTCGGTCGTTGGTGGATTGACATCTATAGGAAGATCTGTGCGTGCTGCTTCGATGTCCGGTGGATTCAATGGAGCCGGCCTATTCAGGAGTTCCTCGAAGTACTCTGCCCATCTGTTGCGCTGTTGTTGAATTTCAGTGATTGGCCTGCCTTCTTTGTCTTTGACCGGTCTCTCTGGTTTACTGTATTTCCCTGCTAGCTTCTTCGTCGTATCGTAAAGCTGTCTCATATTTCCTTCTCTTGCAGCTTTTTCCGCCGTCGTTCCTAGTTCTACCACGTATTTTTGCTTGTCAGCTCTAATGCTCTTCTTCACTTTCTTGTTTGCTTCTATGTACTCAGTTTGTGCTTGGACTTTCTCTGCTCTTGTTCGACTGTTGTTAATTGCTGTCTTCTTGTTCTTTCTTTCTTTGATCCTGTCCAGTATTTCTATAGAGATCCATTCCTTATGATGATGCTTCTTGGGGCCCAGAACCTCTTGACACGTTGAAGTTAATGTTTCTTTGATACCTTTCCAGCTATCCTCCATAGTAGTTTCTTCTTCCTTCAGTAGGTCCTGTAAGGCTTGGAACCTATTGTTGAGAGCTACCTTGAATTCATTGAGTTTGTCAGTATCTCGAAGGAAGGCTGGATTGAATCTTTGTGGTGCTGTTTGTCCAGTTGTCCAGTTCTTCTTTAGCTTCAGTTTCAATTTGGCCACAACCAGGTGGTGATCTGAAGCTATGTCCGCTCCTCTCCTGGTTTTCACATCTTCCATTGTCCTTCGGAACTTTTTATTGATGCAAATATGATCTATCTGGTTCTCTGTGGTGTGGTCCGGTGAGATCCATGTGGCTTTGTGTATACGTTTGTGTGGAAATATTGTACCGCCTATGACCAATTTATTGAATGCACACAGATTTACAAATCTTTCCCCGTTTTCGTTTCTCTCTCCCAGTCCATGTAGTCCCATGATGTCTTCATATCCGGTGTTGTCCATTCCGACTTTGGCGTTTAGATCTTCCATCAGAATGGTGAGGTCCTTTCTTGGGCACTTCTCTATGATTGATTGCAGCCTCTCATAGAATTGATCTTTAACGTTGTCGTTGCTATCATTGGTGGGTGCATAACATTGGATAATGTTCATTGTGATCCCCTCCTTTTTTGTTTTGAATGATGCTTTGATGATTCTGGATCCGTGAGATTCCCATCCTACAAGTGCATTTTGTTCTACTTTGGACAGCATTAGAGCCACTCCCTGAGTGTGTGGAGCATTTTACTCTTTGTGACCGGAGTATAGCAGCAACTCTCCCGTATTTAACCTTTGTTGTCCACCTTGGGTCCAGTGGGTTTCACTGATTCCCAGCACTGCCAAGTTGTATCTCCTCATTTCCGTTGCTATTTGACTGGTCTTCCCGTTCTCCCACATTGTCCGGACGTTCCATGATCCATGTACCTATAAAAATTTTTGCTCTGGTTGTTAGAAGGGGCATCGGCCTCGTGGCTTCCGAAGGAACTCGGCTTCCACCATGAAGCGTCATATTACCTCTAACTCCCAGGGCAGAGTTTAAATGGTTTGAGTTATTTTTTCTGGTTAGCGTTTTTTAGCGAGTTAGTTTTCTACGGGATGGGGACGCTAACCCCATGCCCAACTCTCCTCCTTTACCCGGGCTTGGGACCGGCAGTAACTCTGGAAGAGCTACAGGCGGAGTTAATAAGAATAGCTGGGTCATCGTAATAAAAGAGTTTAGTGCAAGCCAAGAAGCGATAATGACTTCATTTAATATCACTATTTATTACTATCCCTTATACTTAATTCTATGATAAAATCCTTGTGTTTTTAAAAAAAACCTGAAAAAATAGCCTTTAGAAAACGTAAACCAAGTTGCATGGAATCCACGTGTTCAACACATATTATGCACAACTAGCATTGGTCGTTGTGTTATATGGGATTTACGTAAAAGTGGACCAGTTTTACAACTTACTAAAACAATGTGTCAAGTGAGTTCATTATCTTCTTCTTCTTCTTATGATTTCATTCTTGTGATTGTGTATTAGATAATAGTTGTATATGTTGTTTTCACAATAAAGAAGCTCAAAATTTAAGTGAATTTCTGTTACAAATCAACTTGAACGGTTGAATAGTATGATTTTCGAAAAGTTCATTTGTGTATTTGTAAGTTCGCTGATTCCTAATCGCTTCATCTTACCTAATAGGAGTAAAACATGATCTTTATGAATAGAGGATATTCAAAGGTTATTAATATTCAATCATAAGTGTCTTCGAAGCACCATTCGTGCATTTTGGGACCATCAAGTGAAGAAGGCTGAGTTTACGGGTAAGGTATTGAGTAAGAATAGTGAATTAATTTATAAGATATTAGATCTTCTTCAACTGAGATAGTTGGGCATACGCAACACACGCCCCAATCACCACGTACATCGATGAGCAAGCTTGTGTGATGTAGGAGTAGGCTAGAAGAAAGCTGATCGCGGCCAAACCAAAGCATGAAGTTACTGATTATTGGATCTAGCCATGTTAATAGGTTTAGATCACCTGGTTGGTGTCCACGCGATTATCGTAACCAATGATCGGATACTTTGAATGACATGGCTCAAAATCGTCTGTAATGGCGCAGGTTCATCCATTCATTATCTTACCTCAAATTCTAAGCTTCCGTATTCTTCATAACTTTTTTGTGTGCTTTTATTTCATCAAGTTATATTTTCTTTTGAAATTGTATCTTCGATGGTTTATCTTTCCAATCACCATTCATACGGTTACTACCTCGATTATTCAGGGATTTGGCCTGACAATTTCATCTATTTGTGCTAATTTAGTATGAAAACTTAATCCGATGTACATACGTACCAGGTTCTACGTTGTGATTGACTGACTGAATTTCATAATATGAACCATAAGATTAAATTTTGTCAGATTGATCTAACTTTTGTCTTGATCGCAATACTCTAAACTTTCGAAATTAGATATTATGTGCGTTTGTGAGAGTACACTTCTGAAGATTGCTGAACATAAATTGAAACTTTGAACCTGAGTTACGCATATCCGAATCCCACATTAAGCATCATTTCTTTCACGATTATAAGTGTTCCTTGGTGAAGAAAACCGATTAGGAGGAAACTTATGCCTATGGAATCCTATCAACTGCCACCAACTATTATATATGGGACCTGACTACAGTTCTTCATGAAAATCATTTGCTAAATAATATTCAGAGCATTGTGAAGTGATTTTTAACTGTAATTTACATAGAACTTCAATGAAATTAGTCAGAAATCATTTGTTGAATAGTCCACTTTTTTACACTTCATTTAGTCAGCTACAGTGTAGGACCAGACACATCGGTCCAAGTTGCCATACCCCATAAACACAACAAGATAAACAGCAAATTCATAGAACTAGTTAATTCAATCGTGGTAATATATAAAAGAAAGATTTCATATAAAGAAATAGTGCAGGAAGAAAGAATTAGTTCGTAGAAAGAAATATCTGAAGTGATTTTAATCTCCTAGTTTAAGGGAAGACAAAATGTGTATACACCGACGCCATTGTGATCGAGTTTGAGTTCAGGCATACATAGCACGTGGTCCAACCATCTTGGTCGATGAAGATTCATAACCTCATCAACTGATTTACCATCATTCCCTAATACCCTACGTCTAACCTCACTATTACACTTATGTTTTCCTTTTTAAATTTACAGTTAGAACCACAAATGATGGCATGGAGTCCGGATGTTGCAACTCGTTTATGTATAGCTGATCCAAATAATCCAAACGCTGATGTTCAATTATGGGATCTTCGTTATCCAAAACATATGCTTTGTTTATTAAGTCATTGGCCACCATTATTATCATCTAATTTAAAAACAACTAACCTATTAAATAATTATGCATTAGGGAATGCAGGTACAGTAAATTCATTATGTTGGGGTATACCAGAATGTCAAAAATCAATAAATAAATCAAATTTCTATGATAAAGATATGATTGTTATGACAATTGGTGCTTCTGGTGCATTACCAACATTAAATGGTAATTATGGTACAAAATTAAATCCAACTTATGCTGAAATGTTAGTTGTTTGGAGTGTTAATCAAGCATTAAACTCTACACCGGATAATGTAACATGTCAAGAAGGTTTGTGTTTTTGTTAATACTTAATCAATATAATCAATTTTAATGAAATTTTCTATTATATTTATTATTTTACCCTATACATTTTTTTGTTATTTTTTGAATTAATTACCATAGTTACAAGCATTTGAAATCATTACATATAGAAACTAATCTTTATAGTAGTTTATTCTTTGGCAAGAACTCATATACTCAAACAGTTTTTCTTCTCTCAATCATTGTTTCATCAATAATCATCCGATCTTTTTTCTCTTTCCAAATTTATTTCACTGCATAATATCTTCAAACTCTAATCTTTTGGATTACTACTTATACTCTTACTATCTCTACCACTATGGGATTTGAATTGACAACTGCATTTCTATGCTAATGTGGTATGGCAACTTGAACTGATGTACGTACGTACGAAGTTCTACGTTGTTACTGACTGACTGATCCGATCAATGATTAAAGGGTTGGAAAGCATACACTAAAAATAACTATACTTATTATGTTTAGTGTCTTCTTAATATGTGATGTCGACATCATGTCGTTTTAGCCTATCACTACCTTTATCAATAAAGTTAGAAACATTTGAAAAGAGATATTTTCTACAATTTGATTAAGGTTATATGTAATAGTTGTGAAATATTAACATCATGATTAAAATATTCGCTTTTATATTCATGGATTACATATGGCAACCATATGTTATCTAAAGAGGAAGAATGTTGTATTTGTTAAAATCTCAGCGAATGAATTTTAAGTAATATATTCAACGTTTCACCTGGTAATCTGGTCCAAGCTTTTTCAAGGAAAATTATAATCAAACAACAAAATTATCGAATATAAATAGGTACATGGTTCTCTGGTTCATTGTATACTGAATAAAACATCCAACCAACATGTACCCTGTTTGAAGTAGGTATTTACAATAGTGTGTATTTTATTTAGGTATCATTTAGTTCTCTAAATCATTTTCTAAATTAGCCTTATAATTTCATGTACATATTTATGTATAAACAGTATTGAGCCTGACCAAGTTATGTATGGAACTTGTACGATAAGATGAATTAAACGGTTTTCCATAATAATTTAGAGTAACATTAATAATAAAAAAGACTGAACATGAAGAATATGATTCTAAAAGGTAGTGAAAATGTATTTATGGAAGAATATTGTAGTTCATGGCCGAAAAAAAAGAGTGAATACATCTGCTTCATTGTGAATGATTCTGAATCATGTCACCCAATGTCTTTAACTGCTCATCATGGTTATCGTGTGGACCCCAACCATGTAGTCTGCTTCTATCGAAATGGTTCATACCTACTGTCAATGAAACCATAAACTGGTACTACATCTTAGTTTAGCTGACTCTAGCTCTTCATAGCCAACATTTAGCGACGCTTAAATAGTGTTAGTGGATACAGGAGATTTATTTAGCGGAGTTGGAGAACTCCGGTTCTGGACTAATGGTACACATGATCCCCGGTATCTTGAAAGATTGAATTGTTTATGAATCTATTTCGGTTACCGACTACCGCGATACAACATCTAATGTCACTTTAATTTCTTGTGTAATAATTTCAAGAAATGACCACCTGTTTAAGTTTGAGTCCTCAATCTCACAAAAATATGTGATCGTTGATTCACTTACCGTTATTCATTTAGAGACTGATCAATTCCAGTCCTAAACAACAGTGGGACGATTCAAACAACTAATATATATATATATATATATATATATATATATATATATATATCGAAATCCGCCACAGCTTACATGTTAATGGTCATCTGAACACAGTAGCTAAGTGGATAATGCGATGTCGTTTGCAACGAATGGCACCGGGTTCGAGTCCCGGTGTGAACATCGACTCTGGAAAGCAGGTACATCTAGTTGGCGAGTCTCAAATAGGACGAAATATGCATTTTAGATTTAACTGTTAACATCTATTTATCTCTACATAAAATACTTAGAGTTAAAGGCACTATCGATGCAATTTGCGCGAGATGCACATGCGTCAAAAGTAACCGATCAATCCCGACCATTGTTGCTGCTTTGATGTAGTGGTCGCGCTTGCCTATCGTGATGAAGCAACTGAGCTATATTGGCTGTAACAATCGTTCCTCAAGGTCCTACCATGCCAGACAGGTCGGTTGAAGAGCGGTAAGACTAAAAACAACAAACCCAAGGTCTGAGGGCGAAATCGCACTGCTGACTGTACACAGGTGAGACAGCAGTAACGTGTTTTCTTCAGACAACCCACATCTGCAGCGATGCTGCCTTCCCACAAGGAGGGGTGGGGTTAGAAAAGGTCGACTCTAAAAATCCACACCTCACCTTATCTTGATCTAATCAGACCTAATGGGTTGGTGTCTGATGAAATCTCAGTACGGATTCAAAAAGCTCGTTTGACTTTTACCAATTTATGTCACCTGTGGCGAAGGCGAGATATCCGTCTATCAATTAAGGGACGAGTATACTTCACGGCAGTTCGTCCTGTTTTACTTTATGACTGCTAAACGTGGCCATTAAGAGTAGAACATGCTCGTAAGTTGCTAGTATTTGACCACAGATGCTTTAGAAATATTGCTGGTATCTGCTGGGATCACCGGGTAAGTAATAGTGAGGTTAGACGTAGGGTATTAGGGAATGATGGTATATCAGTTGATGAGGTTATGAATCTTCATCGACCAAGATGGTTGGACCACGTGTTATGTATGCCTGAACACCGATTACCACGATGCGCAATGCTGACTAGTGTTAGGGATTGTTGGAAGATAGTTAGGGATGGCCAAACCAAAACGTGGCATCAGTGCCTGAAGTCACTAATATCTAGTCTGAACCATGTTGGTAGATGCAGACTACTCGGTTGTGGTCCGCGTGACTATCGTAACCAATGGTTGGAGAGTGTGGGTGATATTACTCAAACTCGATCACAATGGCGTCGGTGTATACACTTTTTGTCTTCCCTTAAACTAGGAGATTAAAATCACTTCATATATTTCTTTCTACGAACTAATTCTTTCTTCCTGTACTATTTCTTTATATGAAATCTTTCTTTTATATATTACCACGATTGAATTAACTAGTTCTATGAATTTGCTGTTTATCTTGTTGTCCCTGATCTTACGTTGTAGGTGACTGACCGAACCGACCAATCACAGCCTCTAAACATCAATGGGATAAATGAAACAACGAATATATATATATATATATATATATATATATATATATTAGAGTAGTTAAGGTTAACAATATTGTTCACTTATATGTAAACAATTTTAATTGTAAGACGTTTTTCTCCTACAAATGGTTACATTTTATTTCATTCTTTTTTTTTTTCTTTTTCTTTCTTCATTGAATGATTAGCTACACCGGAACCAATATTTATTGGTCGTTTAGAAGGTTTAGATGATCAAGAATTAGTTAATCCATTATTATGTTTTAATACATTACCAACAAATGCATCTGTACAATGGATACCAAATCATCCTAATTTAATATGTGTTACACAATCAGATGGTTGGATAACAGTCTATAATTTATTAAGTGGTATAAATAAACAAGTTGAACAATTGAATATTGAACGATATAATAAACAATGTATCTTAGCTAGAAATTCATTAAATTTACGTAATTCACATAAAGTAGCTGAAGTATTTCATAATGAACAATTATTAATGGATAATAATAATACTGATAATACTATTATTCCTACTACTATGAATAATAATAATAATAATCTTCAATCAGATTCATTATATCCTGTATTTATGGATGATCCAAATGTGAATAATATTGATAAAGAACAAATCAATTCAGGATCAGATCAATTATTATTGAATAATTCTAATTCTATGAATTTAATAAATCTTTCATTACCTCAAGTAAATAGAATTTTATTATTATTTCTATATCTATTCTCTGATAATAATAATAAAGATTATAATGTTTTGTATTTATTAGAAAGAATCATATTTATTCAATGTAAAGGGTTTATTTATTGAATCTCCGCCGAAATGCCTTGGGACGGCCGAGAGTGGGGAGAGTCCGCTCACTCTCTCGAAATGCTTTCACATGGCCTCTGCCAAGGAAGTCCTATTCACTGCCTTCTTGTGGCGGGGTTGTTGTTCACGAAATTGAGAGGACGAAAAGCGAATGTCCGGTGCTTTAACCGTGTTGGTGGACAAGGAGAGTCCACCTAGGGGAGTTGGGAAACCGTGATTGCAAACCAATGGTGCAAATGGGTTCCAGTATCCTGAAGGAACGAAAGGCGTATGAACCAATTGTTGGTCACCGGCTACCATGGGACTGCATCTCCTCATGATGCTCCACTGCCTTGTGGATCAGACCTTTATGTCGAAGGCTCGGGGTGTGGCCCCCTATGAAAGCGACCTGTTTCGGTTTGGGCACTCGGGCGGTATCACAACCCTCACACAAATCTCATTTAATTTGTGTAGCGCATATGCATCTGGTTCCCCCTTGTACCATTATCTATGTATTCAAATAAATAAATAAATAATAAATAATTTATTGAATCACCATTAACCGAACAGAAAATAGACGACTGTTAACGGGGATGCACTTTAATAGTGCTTGTTCCACCCTCGTACTTAGTACTATGCCTATATCTGCCAGTTCACGAGAACTTGCCATTAATTTGCCAGATACACGGAGAGTAACAATTTCCGCAATGCGTGTTCTGTATACCTTCAGTGTTTTTTTCCTAATTCCTTTTTTAGTTGAAAGTTGGTTTGTTGTCTGTCAGAGTAGGTTGTTGTCGATGGTATCTGGCCAATGGATATCTTGCGTAGATAATTGCTTTTAAATGCCTGTACTTTTTGGTTATAATGTAGCGAACGCTACTCACATGGTTGTTTGTAAGTGGTGTGTAGCGGAACGTGACGTCAAAATTACTACAACTGTCAGACAAAATGAAGAGTTTCAGTGCATCGAATGCACAGCGTTGGTAGAACACTTGGAGACCAAACGAGAAAATAGTTCCTATTGGCAGAATACACCAAAAGATCCAAATGGACGGTTGAAGGTTATACATATGTATTATGCAAATACTTTGTAAATTCTCTCAATGAATACACATTCCCCCTGTTTACGGTCGTGTTTCAAAGTTTTAGTTCTCGAAGTTTCAGTTCCGTACGGTAGAACTGTCTTGTAGCTCGTATTGAAGATTCTGAATTTAATGTTGGCTGACAATTGTTTTGAAATGCATATGTTCTTCAACTGTAGGAATGTGGCCCCTGCTTTGCCAATCCGTCGCTTCACATCTTGCACATAGTAGTAATTTATAATAAAAAAATGGAAAGTTGTACCATTATTAAAAATGTTGCCATTTGCTTATAGGAACTTTGTAAGTGTTGAACAGTAGTATTTTCCCACTTGATAAAGATGAAAAAGCGACAAATGCATATCGAAAATAATTTTTAAATTTAAAACTATGGAAGAGGAGAGTTAAGGTCATGATAAAATAAGTAATCTGACATAATTCCTGAACAGAGACGGGATTTAGGTTTAGAATTGATTGATCACTGTGTAGTGACCAATATCTTCTATTTTAGCAAGATGTACCTGTAATCTTCAGGGTACTGATTCTTCCTGGGTGATTTGACCCCTTGTTACAAAGCTTCACAGCCACAGACGTTACCACTGAGCTGTGGGCGCTGCGACTGACCTCATGTAGGACTGAATAGTGACTGGTATCCCGTATGTTAAGTCCTCAGTGCTGATTGAATTTTTCAGGGAGCATCATTTCCTCTAAGGATACAGATACAACTTGCTAACCAGTACCAGACAGTGCATAACCTAAGTCCATTATATACTGTCAACTACCTACAATCACCATGTTACCATGTTCAAATCGATGAACTACCAATGCTTCTTCAATGGATAAATCTATTGTCATATCAGTTTGTTTTACTTAAGCATTGATATATTATCATTGTAAGTGTTATTGCCACCAAACATTGGATTGTTTATAATTTTTTAAAGTTTATTACATTAATGCATTCGTTCCTTTTTACGTTTTCATCATGTTTTAATATTTATAGCCTATGCCATTATTACGTGTTGCACCAAGTTGGTTGAAGAGACCCTGTGGTGTCCATTTTGCTGTAAGTCATATATACGTTAATTTTCATATAACGTCACTATGCATTATTCATCAGTGTGTTTTACCGTGTGTACATCCTGAATCGGTTGTCTCGTTGTTATTATCTAGTCACAGGTTTTTAGTAAAATTGGTTAATCCTTAGCAATGTAATTCAGGAAGCGTGTTTCATTTAACTTGTGATTCAGTGGTTGGGATACATCTCTATTCCATTGTCGATATTCATATTGGCACTCGAACTTTAGTTTTTTTTTCTCTACAAATGCACTATTCATCGCACTATTGAGTCCAGATGGATGACTGTATAAAACAGATATGAGTTATTATGACATTGTCGAAGAAAATGAGTAGTACAGGAAAGGAAGAGAGAGAGAGTTAATGAGTGATAATAGGGTTTCATTCACTAACCTATGTTTTATTTTTCATATCTTTATCATGTTTTGTTGTTTAGTTTGGTGGTAGACTTGTCACTTTTTCATCTTTAACAAATCTTCAATCAAAACGTACTCGTACAAATAGTTCAATGAGTAGTTCAAAACGAACTGATCCAAATAGCCGATCATCAGATATAGGAAGTATTGAACAAAATTCAACAATAGGAACAGTACCTGATCAAAATCATTTAAATTCTACAGAAGTACAATCATATTATGTTTTTATTAAATGGATTGATGTATTTCAAATGGAACCATCATCATCAACAACAGTACAACTACATTCTTCTCTTAATAACAATACTAATACATCAGATGATCAGTGGAAGAATTCTATAGAAGATATAATTGAATGTTTGATTACTGTACTTAATTGTTCCAATGATTATTTAAGTACAGTTTGTGAAAATGCTAAAGCTTTATTCAAACCGATGGTTGATAATAATAATAATCCGTCGTTAACAAATGGTCATGGTCATTTGGATTTATGGAATGTAATTCAAGTAAGCTTTCATTTCTATATTGGTTTATTTCCCAACTCAAAATTGTGTCATTGTATTGTTTTACACATAAACTTTTGTACATATTTACTAAATTAAATTATTAGGATCTATAGTCCATCAATGACGGAGATCTCTTTACGTTTATATTAAATCAATAATCTACCCTTCCATGAATAACACAAATGACCACTAATCAATAACTGAAGATACTTACATTTATTGGTCCGTAAAACATTTTCTATTTCCAATAGCTAATTACGTAACCATAATACATTGAAAATATGAAATCATAATTTATTACATAATTAGACCATATATTATACAAAATTAAATAATAGATGCCTAATTGATTAACGGTAATTACAGAACAGTAAAATATGCATCAAATAATTCTTAGTATCAGAAGGGGTTTTGTAGAGATTGTAGTAATTTCAATAGTTAAGATCATGAGTCAATTGAAGCTAGACCATCACGGAAAACCTAGAAGTACTAGACGACCGTTTAGTCCTATCGTGGGACTCCTCAGCGGTGGACATGCACGACCACCGCCTCGCAAGATTCGAACCCAGGACCTAGCATTCTCGCACTCGAGCGCTTAATCACTAGACCACTAGGCCGGCATTCAACAGTGTTAGTGCCTTAAACGAAATGCAATAAAAACGAATTATAACCAACCAAATGTTTAATTATTATTATAGTGTAAATGTGTATACTGGTTTATTGTATACCATTTCTATAATTTCTTCATTGTTTACCTAATATCTACCAAGTATAGCTTGTCGAAAAAATAATATAGACTCTTAAATACAAAATTTACTTAAATCAATATTAAAAGTGGGGTACAAATAAAGAATAATGAGTTTATAGGGGAATATTTTCATTAACCTTGACACAAATAAAAGATGGTTTCAGTATAGAGTATTAACTTGAAAAAAGTTTGACATTCCGAATTCTTGTAGGGTTAAATATATTCAGTTGTTATAATAATGTAACTCAGTTACTAAGTTTACATTGCTTACATGGAAAGAACACCAACTCAATCATACTTGATGGAGAAACCCTGGAAGAGGTGTAAACTTTCACATACAAGGAGGATCTGATGCAGAAATAAAGGCAAGGTATTGACAAAGCAAGGGCCACATTCCTACAGTTGAAGAATATATTCAACTCATATTAATTGTCAGTCAACGTTAAATTCAGAATCTTTAATAGGAGCGTCAAGATAGTTTAAATGTACGGAGCTGAAACTTCGAGAAAGTAAAAGTATTTATAAACAATTGTGTACTTAGGATTCTGTATGTTCGTCGGTCGGATACCATCAGTAACAACGTACTATGGGAGATAAAAGCATCCAGGTGAAGAGGAAATTAGGAAAAGATGCTGAAGTTGGATAGAACATACAGTACGAAAATTATCAAAGGGTGTCACGAGGCAAACCCTTACCTGGAATCCTGAAGTGAGAAGGAAAAGAGGAAGACCAAAGAGCATATTGCGTCAGGACTCGAAAGCAGACATCATAAGAATGATTAGCAACTGGAAAGGACTGCCTAAGACAGAGTTCGATGGAGAATTATGATTAACGACCTATGCTGCTCCACAATAGGCAACATTCCTAAGTAAGTAATAATGGTTGTTTGTTTGCTTAGTCAGACGAGTAGAGATAGTCTGACAGGTATTAGATAAGTTATATATTTTTCTACCCTTATTATTATTGGTTTTATTGTCGGTTTTTTTAAGTAGAAATACATTTATGTTCTATCCATACTTGTCATGTGTTCTTGATCTGAGTTGTGTTGAATTCATGTACAATAGACACTAGAAGGGTATCTAGTGTAAGTATTCGTCTAAGGTGTAAAAGGAAAAATTGAGCGGTATAACAAAGTTATTCATACCAACCTATTGTTAAAATATAGTTATAAACGTATGATATATTGAATGTAAATGGAGTCTTATAGCCACTAAATCAATGTTTTTTTTGTCATTTTTGAATATACAAATTCTAATTGTTGGATTTGTTATTTCATAAAACAGTAATCAAGTGTTAACATTGATGAGTACAAGATAAATACGATACCCGGGCAGTATCCCAGTCCTCACACAAATCGAAAGATTTATGTGTCTCATATCTATTTGGTGCCTTCTTGTACCTATGTTTATGTTATTTATTATTATTTATTTGAACATATGAATATTTCTGCAAGGGGGCACCATATATATATGCGGCGCACAAATCAATGAGAATGGGGAGAGATAAAAATGGTAAGATATGTATAAGAAAAAAAACCCAGTAATGACCACAGGTTAATGTTATGTAGTGTAATAATGATAATAATAATGGGGGAAACAGAAAGGTGCAGCCAGAAGAATTCTTTCAGTCAAGGAAGAAACAACCACTTTTTATGAAGAAAGTAAAAGAAGGTTACAGCAGGATCACCACTGGCTTCTTTTCTGAGGCATATCTGATAACGTCTCTAGCCACTGTGTTGCACCATCTCTCGGACCCCAACCAGGGAATCGTGAAGGACCAACAGATGCCAGTCCTGTGCAACTTTATTTCATACCACGACACCATGTCATACATTGACCACCTCTCCTCTTTTTCCAACCAGTCCTAGTGTCGGCAACTAATACACGACGTGAAATTCTCTGGGAAAACATTCGTAGAACATATCCAAGACACCAAAGTCTGTGTTTCAAGATGGTGACACCAATTGGATTATGGTCTCTGTATGTTTAGATAAAAATAACAAAAGATTTGACGATAATGTGAACTCTCTTCATATCAACTGCTGGTTAATGCGACATGTGATATGAAAAAAGAGACTGGTATTTCACAGCATATGCTTATATGAAATTGAAAGGTGATGTCAACACTTGCTAATAAAGTGGATATTGTAATTAACTATAAAATAAACTTATCAATAACGGAGAAAACAATCCGTCTATCGTACGTCTGGTCTACTGTTTTTATCATGGACTAATGCACAAAGCAATAGAAATCCAAATTATGAAACCATGGGAACAATTTAAATATTGCTATGGACACTTGCTTGTCTAGTATCCCTTGTCTACGAGGCATATTCCATTAAAGTGGGAAAACGCGTTTTAAAAAGGTTTCCACCTAATATTAGTTGGAATATATTCGATATTCTTAGAACCAACGATGTTGTTTATTGCATGCGCTTCCTATCAGCAAGTCAGATCTGTTGTTGTGGTGTGAAAACCAGGATTGGGTGCAGATGTTTGACCCACTTTCATTTTTAGCAAAATATATCCAGATCTCTTTGTTTCTTAGATAATTAAGCCAAATCTCGACTAGTACAACGTATTCTTCAGTTTATCTCATTATTTAGCGTATATCTGGTTAATTTATCGTATTACCTTTCCCTGTTAAATATTATGTTCGACTTTTAAAATTTTAGTTATAGGAATTACGGTGGAGTCATATCACTCTTCATGTTTAATTTTGATTACAATCATGGCGTATACTACTTATATTGACAGATTTAAGTAGTATATAACATCAATCGAATGTGTAATGCCTGTAATCGGAAGATTGAACAGATTGAAATGAAGAGATAAGAGAAGAAAACTGAAAGCAATCAAGATAATACACAGCAATAAGGGAACAGTGGAATTTTTAGAAAAGAAAAAAAGCGATTCGAAATAGATATACAAGTGATGTATAATTGTGTATGATTTTCCATGAAACAATAAATTGGTTGTCTTCACTAAGTCACCATAGTAACAAAACTAATTTAAATATTATTATCATCACTATAACCTTACGTTAAATATCTATCATATTGTAATATTACTATTTTTTTGTTTTTGGTAATACTCATTTCACCTTATCTCTGTGTCATTGTTTTTCTTTTTTTTTGAATTTCATCTAGGCTCGTTTAGATAAATCAACTTCAGTAAAATCATCATTGTCCAATTTGTTAGGCTACAGTAAACAGGATTTTCAAGGTAGATATTTGTTGTTGTTGTTGTTGTCAACAAAATGAAGTCTATTTTCGACTTGATTGTTATTTAGTTTCGTTTTATGTATAAAAGACACAAAAAATTAGGACAAAAAGGATAAATCAGTTAATTAATTAAATGGATTGATTGTTGTGATGGAATTATGTTCTATTTGTTGGCTAAATCGCTGTTTACCCTAATCTACTATCGTCAGTCAGTCATCTACAACATAGAACCAGGCATATATATGCCATATTTCACTAGAACAACAAGATGAACACCAACTTCATAAAAGCAGTCTTACTTACTTACTTACGCCTGTTACTCATAATGGAGCAAAGGCCACCGACCAGCATTCTCTAACCCACTCTGTCCTAGGCCTTCTTTTCTAGTTCCATCCAATTCTTGTTCATTTTTCTCATGTCTAGCTCCATTTCCCGGGTTATGTATCCTTCTATATTCCGCTTCTTTTTTGGCTTCGAGGATTCCATGTGAGAGCTTGCCTCGTGACACAGTTGGTTGTGTCCTATCCACTTCCAATGCTTCTTCCTGATTTCTTCCTCCACTGGGATCTGATTTGTTCTCTCCCACAGTAGGTTGTTGCTGAGAGTGTTCGGCCAATGGATCTGAAGTATTTTGCGTAGAAAACTGTTGATAAACACCTGTATCTTCTGGATGATGGTTTTTTGTACTTCTGCAGGTTCCCGCAACATATAGTTGAACTGTGTTCATATTTGTATTGAAAATTCTGACCTTGGTATTAGTTGCCAATTATTTTGAGTTCCAGATGTTCTTCAGATGTAAATATGCTGCTCTTGCTTTGCCAATCCGTGCCTTCACATCTGCATCAGATCCACCGTGTTCATCGATGATACTGCTCAGATATGTGAAGATTTGTACATCTTGCAAATCTTCTGCGTCAATTGTGATTGGATTTTTGCATGCTGTGTTGTATCGGAGAATCTTGCTTTTCCCTTTGTGTATATTGAGACCTATTGCTGCTGAGGCTGCAGCTACACTGGTTGTCTTCTCCTGCATTTGTTGTTGCGTATGCGATAGAAGAGCCAGATCATCTGCGAAGTCTAGATCTTCCAACTGCATCCTAGATGTCCACTGTATCCCGTGTTTCCCTTCAGATATTGACGTCTTCATGATCCAGTCGATCACCAGGAGAAAGAGAAAGGGTGAGAGTAAGCAATCTTGCCTGACACCAGTCTTTATTTCGGAGTAGTTTTTTAACCGTATTATATTGACTAACTTCTCAGGCACGCCGTAGTGTCGAAGAAGCTTCCATAGTGTTGTTCTGTCCACTCTGTCAAATAATTTTTCGTAGTCAATGAAGTTGATGTAGAGCGATGAATTCCATCTAATTGATTGTTCTACAATGATCCGTAGAGTTGTGATTTGATCTGTACACGATCTATCCTTACAGAATCCTGCCTGTTGGTCTCGAAGTTGGGCGTCTACGCAGTCCTTCATCCTGTTTAACAATACCCTGTTGAAGACTTTTCCTGGTATTGAGAGAAGAGTGATGCCCCTCTAGTTATCACAGTTGCTGAGACCGCCTTTCTTTGGTATTTTGACTAGAAGTCCTTCTTTCCAGTCTGTTGGTACATGTTCCTCATCCCAAATCTTTCTGAGGAGAATGTGGAGTATCCTTGCAGTTACCGCTACGTCTGCTTTCAGTGCCTCTGCTGGAATGTTGTCTGGTCCTGCTGCTTTGCCACTCTTGATTTTTCTGATAGCCATGCTGATTTCTTCAATTGTTGGTGGGCCAACATCGATTGGTCATAGAAGTAGTCACTTCAATGATAATAATATATGAAAGAAAGATATGATACAAAAAGAAAGAATTAGAAAGATAGGTATAAAATCATTTTAATTTCACGGTTTAAGGGAAGACAAAGAGTGTATACACCGACGCTATTGTGATCAATTCTGAGCCATGGGACCCAGAGTCTCGATATTGCCTGAAGTCACAAACTTTATATGCAAAGATGGATAATGGCTAGCACTGGAATCCAGGAGTCCTAGAATGAACATCATATCTGAGATGCAGGTATATCCAGCTGACGAATCCCAAATAGAACTGAACGCGCGTCTTGAATTCCAATGCCAAGCACTATCCATCTTTGTTTTGTCGTTTTATGTTCTTTACTTTTTAAAAAAAAATATTTTAATTTAGGTTTCAATCAGTCTACATCTTCTCAATTGTTGGATGCGTTGAAATATGCTCTAGTTACTAATGATATTAAAACAATTATTCAATTATGTTTACATCCGTAAGTTTATATATTTTAATGTCTATATACATACATATAAACGTAGACTATCGGTTAAGATATGGCTTCATTTACTGTAAACAGATACACTTTTTGTTCAAAAGGAGTTTTGTTTTCTGAAGGGATTAGATATATGTTTATGAATAAGTGTATATATATTCTGGATTCAGACTTAGTTGATAAAATTTCTTTCTTACTGAAGTAGCTGATCAGACTCGTGTTTAAGTGTTGTAACACTCTGTGTCCGATAATCGATACTAATACACGAACTTCTTATTCAAAAGCCTTTAACTAGCTACTGAAAACGAAGACCAAGAGTGATGAAAGAAGTTTATTGAACCAAACTTTATCAATTGCATAAGAAATCGCCTATATATATATATCTTGTGTAATAACATCAACTTTTCATTTGGTGACTTTTGATTGACTCACTGTATCAACTAGTATCTTCTGTCATCTATGCATCCTGAACTGATCGCCTCAAAATATTGTCTTAGAATTTGTTTTGACGTGTGGAGTCCAAGATTTAATACTGATAGGCAGTCCTCCTATGTGAGAGTCCAACTAGCTATTTTAATTAAAAGACTGCAAATGAGAAAGAAAGGTTATTAGCTAAACCATATCAAAAGCATGTGTATTAGTCGTCGGACATAATACATCATAACACTAACTATTTGTAGTCTTGAATATCAACAACGGAAAACTACAAAACTTTACGAAAATCTTCATACCTTTTAAGTAAGTTAACAGTATTCTGAACCTAGTTTTGTGGAAATTGGTTTGATTCATAATTTATATATTCGAGAGTGAAACAATTGTCCTTAATATCAAACAATATGATATCGCAATGTATTGAAGCTGAAAGTATATTATTAGTGTTGAACCCAGTTTTACTAATGTCCAAGGGTTCACTGCAAAACCTAAAGACCCTCAATTTCTATCCTGATTAAGGGTCATGGGTGAACACTCCAGTTCAGCTCCATTATAAAATGAACAATTTGTCTATTGTTTCCTAGTTTTCTATGTTATCCTAACTAAAACAAGTTTAAATATTACAGATAACTTGTGATAGTCATGAAAGTCACTGTAACTCATTTAAGTTAAGGATATTGTTTACTGATACATGATTCTTTGAACTGTAATACTTTTTAATTAGGAATTACAGTATTTTGGTATTAAACCTCCAAATACCCTCGTAATGGGTGTGTTGTTTACAAAATTGAGAGCACGAAAGCAGAATGTCCACAGCTTTAACCGGATTGATGGATATGGTGGATTCACCTAGGTTAGTTGGAAAATCCTGATTCCAAACCATTGTTGCACATGAGCTCCAGTATCCTGAAGGAACAAATGACGTATGAACGAATTATTAGTCACTGGCCACCATGACCCTCCATCTCCTTACATTGCTCCACTGTCTTGTAGATTAGATCTTTAAGTCAAGGACTCGGGGTGTGGCCCCCTACGTAGACCACCTGCTTCTGTTTGGACACCCAAGCAGTATCCCAACCCTCACACAAATCGAATGACAAAGTGTGGCACAAATCTATTTGGTGCCTTTTTGTACCTTCTTGGTATTAAACTTACTTATTCTTTGATGTCTTTTACAAAAATTATCTGTCCCCCTTCTACCTATCATGTTTCGCCTAAATTTTTGTTTTTCAGCAAATTTTCTGCATTATCTCTGCCAAATCTTTCTACATTAAGTATATTCGCTATGATGTTCACTGATTTATATCGTTCAGAGAAAATAGAATTATATGAAGATGTAAAATTGAAATTATATCAAACTTTAAATGAAATCTCATTGAATAATCATATCATTCATGATCCAATTTTAAATTCTGTTATCATGTTATTCAATTGTGTACTATTACGTACAAATTGGTTAAATATGATTGAAAATTGGCCATTATCAGATTGGAAAACTATATTAACAGCATTGATTAATCATTTATGGGATCATGATATTGAATTATTAAGAAAGTTATGCTGTAAGTCTTTTTTTTTGGTGTGTGTATGTGTGTGTTTGTTACTGACATTGTTGTTGTTCTTGTTGTTCATCTACGGGTATAGTTCTATTTTGTTTTGCCGTCAGTTGTAGGTAATGAATTGGAGATTTGAATTTTTTGTTTCATATAGTTTCATAGTCATTAATTAACAAGGTATCAGTTATTTATGATTAATGTAAAGCCTTTCAGATATGGATGTTAGTGAGAGTTTCTGTGTCTTATCAATGTGACGAGATGAAATTGGTAAGATGAGTACTTCCAAATGCTCTAGTACAGTCAAGGGTGAGGAGAGGTAGCTTTTCTTCTCAAAATGCTCTCATATGGCCATGCGTATACAACTACTGTCAGGGAAGTCCTACTCAAGGCCTTCTAGAGGTGACGGTGATGTTTAAGAAATTGAGACGAATATGGAGTATCCACCTAGGGGAGTTGAAAAACTCTGGTTCCAAACCAATGCTGAATACGGGCTCCTGGATCCTGAGGTAACAAATGGCGTGTGAACCTATTGTTGATCACTGGCTACCATGGGACTGCATCTTCTAACGTTATTCCATTACCTTTCGGATTAGACATTTAGGTTGATGACTCAATCTATTTGATACTATCAAGTCCAACTTTGGCCTTGAGATACTTATCAGTAGAATTATGCACTGAATTAGCTGATCGATAAATTGGATAAATGAAAGTTAACATTGTTAACAGTTGGAAAATGCCCCCCTCAAGATCTGAAAGTCCTGAGTTTGATTCATGTTAGAGTCATGGATATCCACTAACTTGGGAATGTCCACCTACTTACTAGGGCTAAATGATGATTATAAAGCAATATGAAAAGTACGGATTATGATTTACGGTTGATGGTTAGGGTTAGGATTGAGATTTATTGTTTTTATCACAAACTGACATCAGCTAAACTGATAAGACGCTATTTAGACAATTAAGTGGATGAATTTCGCGCCAAACTTCATAACCTGTCATCCTAAGTCCGAGTGGTTTGTCCATAAATTACAGTCTCACCGATTAGTTGTGTTAGGACATTCAACTTCCAGGTACTAAGTTTCACTCTTGGACCCCTCACTCTACGTGGATGATATCAATAGCCCTTATACTTAAGGTATCATTTAAAGTCAAGTACATAGATCTATTCTTGTCAATTGGTTATATGTCTAAACGTTTATTCTTGAAATTGTTGTGGAAATTTATGGATCAGATGTATGAATTACTAACTATGATGATGATTTTGTTGTTTTTAAACAACATTGACAGCTTAACAGGTCAATTAGTCTGAACATTCTGAATTCTACACCATCATATCTAACAGTCATGTAATATTGACTAGTACAGTTATCATCCTGAATCTAATATATCTAATATCTATGTGTATATTATATCTCCCGCTTTAAATTTCTGTTCCTTTTTTCATCGATTTTTAGCGATTTTTGCTAAACGTCTACTTGATAATACGAGTAACGATAGTAATAATAATATTACTTCAGTTGAATCTGGATTAGCTGCGTGTATCTGTTGTATTATTAGTGATGATCTTGATCATTTAACAGAATGTTGGTTACGTTTAAATAATATAAATGAAAATCATTTGGATAATGTAATAAAATGTTTGGTAAGTAATGTTGAATATATTAGATCTCCAGAACTCACTTGGTAAATCACCTTATATTTGTAATTCTATTTTAAAAATTTGAATTCCTTGTTTTCGCGCCAAAAGCGTTCATTTTCATCTTCATATCGTATTTCCCACTTGGAAGGATCTGAAATGCTACTACTCTGCTGCTTGTGGAATATATTTCCCCATTTCAAACTTGAACTTCTCTCTCTAGTTAACGGAACTGGGACGATTCATTATAGCTAGCTTATCTGTCATTGTGTCACAGAGTCTTTTTCCCGTTGTCAGGTTAGGTGAACTCGTAATCACTTCTAAACATAACAAGTAGTTGAAATGAGAATTTCACTTTTGCTAAATATATGAAGCTTGTTTAGATTAATTTCGTCATATTTTCTGTGTCACTTATATCTGTGTGTTTTAATCATTAAACACATTGAATCTTTGAAGAATATATATATATATATATATATATATATATATATATATATATATATATATATAATGAGAGAGATTCCTTTATTAAGTGATTGGACGTGCTCGATAACATATCGTTTGTTTTTATCTGAATATGCTGGTAGTTGACACGTATCAACAAAGTATGGCCTACAGTCCTGAAGAAATCGACACTCTTTTTGTGGAATGCCAACCCAGGTTTTCTGGTTCTGTAGTAAATAATAATTACTATAGGGATTTATGGAGATTATTTCAATTTTAAAGTTCAAGTCACCAACTGGTGTTAAGTAAAGCCCCATGTTTAATGTGAGTTAGTCACCCAGTATGATGGTTGCGCGGTATTACGACTTAGTTGAAGTTAAACACGTAAACTATTGAATGGCGTCTTAGTGCTATATAGATTAGTCGTCCTTGTACGAGAGCGAACCTTGGTGATAGGATCGTGGACACACTGCTGAGTAGTTCTATATTGCGATAAGACAACTACCCAATGCTTCCTGGTACTCGGTAGTTGTCTCACTAATATTAGTCCGTAATGTTTGATATGAGATAATAATTATCCTACGTTAAAATACTAATATTCAAATTGGTAAATCCCGCTATAATGACAATCAACTCTTAACGTGGATAAGTACAGTAATGATTAATTCAATATGACCGAAGAAATAAAATACTTATCAACCACTGCCTAGGAGTACCGCATTAGGAAGAAACGGTCGTCCATTGCTTCCAGCTTTTCCATGGTGCTCTAGCTTCAATTGATTCATAATCTCAACTATTGAAATAATTTACGATGAAATCAATGAAATACAAAATGTGAAAATATACGATAAAAACACTAGTTACTTATAAGTAATACAATTATAATCTATAAAACATTTGAAGTGTTTAAATGTTTGTGATCTACCAATTGAAGTTCGAACTTTGCATCCAAAAACACTATGATGAGATATGCATGTTTCAAAAGAGTATTCCTTCTTCATCTCATATTTACTTGCAATTTTGTTATTATTACCACTACTATTATTATTATTATTATTTCGATAATGTAATAAGAAGACGAAGATGGTCAGAACTATATGATGATAGATTAGCGCAATACATTTCGAACAATCTGATCACACATATACTTGTTAAGAACATTTATATATAAAAATAAAAGGTCAACTAGACTTGAAATAGTGTAAGAGGAGACAAGGATAATAATAAGATTTTTGATTGAAATCATGAACCGATTGATGCTAGACCACCGTTGGAAACCTTTAAGCACTGGATGGCCGTTTCGTCCTATTGTGGGACTGCTCAATTAATAATAATAATGTGAACAAAATTTGAAACTTAACCATTCTGGATGATAAGTCAATATTACCAGGGCAGTTTTAAGGTGAGAACAAGCTGTTTTTGAATATACAAAGGGGGTTTCAATTGTCGAATGGTTAAGGCTTTAATAAAACTTATTTTAAGCCCTTTTACACTTTTTTTATACAACACCACAAAAGCCGAGTTAAGATCAATCATGTGGCCTGTTTCGATTATATGCTTAGCAATAGAGGGTGATGAATGTTTGTCCTCTACCTTTATTAGGTCACTAGATTGTATTTGTTTTTGCAGCCATTTTGGTACATGTTCACACACCCTAATGTTGAGATCACGATTGCTCCTCCCTATGAATGTGTGACCACACACACACACATTGAAATTGGCTAACACAGTGGGATGTGACACAATCGTTTTCATATCTTTTGGATGAAGCATGCACCTTGTTCATTCTTTGATAATGACATTTGTTACGCAATACGCTTTGTTGATGACTGATTTAAACCTTTGTTTCAATAAAAAGCTATTTGAATCACCTCTGAATGGTAAGGTGATGTAAACAGGATTTTTCTCTACCAAGGCTACAGTAGGTCTCACTGTCCCATGGACTTTCCATCTATTTATGAATTACAAAGGATAGCCATTTTCCATTAATGTTTTATTTAACAACTTAACATCATCATCAATGGCATCATTTGTAAGAATACAATTATTATTATTATTTTTTGATCGAGATCATGAACCGATTGATGTTAAACCACCATTGAAAACCTGGGAGCACTGGACGGCTGTTTCGTCCTGTTGTGGGACTCCTCAGCAGTCCTTCGTGAGAAAATCCTCGAAGTTCTAGTGAGAAGCTATGATCAGTGGAGCAAATCCGTGTCGGTTAGAGGTAGTTATCTACTTCAGTACAATGAAAGATGGTCGCGTAATTTCGTGGATTGTTTGAGGTTAGACATTAACACCATTGGATGCCGACCCAGTGGTTCAGTTGGTTAAGCGTTCGCGTGCGCGTCTGGACGCCCCGGGTCCGAACCCCACGAGCGGATTCGTGGATGCCCACTGCCGAGGAGTCCCACAATAGGACGAAACAGCCGTCCAGTGCTCCCAGGTTTTCAATAGTGATCTAACATCAATCGGTTCATGATCTTGATCAAAAAACTTTACAATCTCCACAACCCTAAACTGATAATATTAATAATAATTATTATTTAATTTGTTTGTTTAGCCATTAGCATTACTACTACTCTTCTTATTTCGTTTATCATCATCTACTGGAATAAATCATTGTACAATTAAATCAAGTCAATTATTAATTCATCTTGCTCTATGGTTAATTGAAACTAGATTCGATCATAATAATAATAATAATAATAATAATAATAATAATAATAATAATAATAATAATGATAATAATGGATCAAATAAACAAATTAGTTTATTTGCTTTAAATTTATTAACAAAAACTTTATCAACCGTTGAATTATATTCACCAACAATGAATTATTTAATTGATTTAAGACATCGTATTTGGTGTAATCTAAGCATGGAACAACAACAACAGCAACAGCAGCAACAACAACAAATATTATCCAATGAATTATCCCAACAATTTTTATGCCCATATCCAGTAAGTGTTATTTATTCATCCTTTGTTTTATTCTTCTTTCAATACTTTCTTTATTTTATGTATATTTATGCCAACTGTCGAATGTATCTAACTGAGGAGTCCGACATAGGACGAAATGTGTATATTGAATTGAACCGCTAACTATGATCCATCATTTCTATAATCAAATAGTTAGTTTATATGGATTGTAATGAAAATCACTTGTTCTTTAAGAATTAATCATAAAAAAGCTAACAGGTAATCTGCTTTGACATTTACATCACTGACAATCATTAACAACTTGGAACCACTAGAAATCTGTTCCGTTCTTATACGAAACCTGTTATAACTTTAAACCCGGCTATTTATCATGTGATATATTCGCTAATCGAAATATCAATTATGACAATCTTAGCACTGTGCCAAAATAATAACGTTCAACCATTATGAGCAACCTAGCGTCCTTATTGGTTTTTTATTCGTTTAGCCTGTCCAGTTGAAACCAGAACGTCAATATCATCTTCCGCTATACGAATCATTTATTTCAAACATACCCGGTTTATATACCAGACAATCAGACTACATCACACTATAAAATAGGAAATAACATTTATACACGATCAAGCGGAAAAGTGGCTGTGAACGTGGGAGACTGTAATCAATAAACTGAGTATAATTTAGGAACAGTAAATCGTACTGCGATAATCTCTAAGTCAAAATGAAGCTTATAATAAGAAGAATATAGATATACATAATTTAGTTACTGAATAGTTATACAGTAACAATATATATAAAATATTAGTCCATTAATAATTCTCAGAAGTTACACGTAATTTAATCTTCACTAGGATATAACAAAGCCTTCTGTTAGTACATATCCATGTCTTTACCAGGGACCTAACTCATGGCCTTCAGGTTTCGTAGTAAGCAGCTGATTTAAGTTAAGCATGTACATCAAAAGATACTGACTTAGTGGTATGGAGATTAGTCACCTACCACTAGGTCTGGTGGTGATGTGTTTGATCCTCTTTGATTGAATTGTTGACGAGCACAACTAAGAAATCTCTTGCTAGGATAAAACATCTGTCCACTGCTCTCTGGTTTTCAATAGTGTTTTGACTTATTGTTTCGTATATCACTTGTCCTGATAATCGTTATTACATAACTTCCAGTGATGTGTAGATTTCAGATTACAATACGAAAGGGTGAGTGTAGTCTATTATTGTACGATTCAGATCACCAAGTTGCCAAGCACACAAAGCGAATACGAGCAAAAATGCGAATACTAATGAATGAACAGGATTTAATATGGATATATATATATATATATATATATATATATATATATATATCAACAAAGTAATGAGCAACTTAAGTAGCCAACGTGTAAGATAATGAAAAAATGTTTGTGTATGTCCTAGCGCGTGATCAAGCATACATTAGTACAGCGATATGAAATCCTCAGGTCAAATTCCAGAGTAGTAGAGATAACAACAGCATTAAGGCAAATAAAAAAAGATTAGGGATGGAAAATACAGTTCGAAGAGATATAAATTAGTGAAATAATAGAAAAATTCTTAAAGAAGGATCTAAGGAAGATAAACAGTGAATCCACTTGTACCAGTGCTATCGATTCTGCTCCCTGCCATTGAAAGACTTTAAACATTGTTTTTGATGATCATGCAGAACCTAAACAGTTAGTATGCACCTACTTACTTACCTATATGACTCAGTCCAATATACTGTGTCTTTATGGACTGCCATATCTTGGTTTGGCTGCCTCTGGCTTTCTCGCCACCTACTCCTACATCGGCCATCATCGCACATCCAGGTACTCGGTGGATGCGAATACGTAATACATCTTCCAACCATCTCAGTCAATAAAGATTCACTACCTCATCTATTGGTTCACCATACTCGCTTAGTACTCTGCATCTAACCTAAGAACTGTTAATTCAACGGTCCCAAAATATACAATTAGTGCTTCAAAAGCACCTATGAAAGAATACTAGTAACCTGTGAACATCCTCTATTCTTAATGACTACGTTTCACAGCTTTAAAGAAGAACCGAGCTTTCTGACTTCTTGCCAAGCTTTCATCAGGTAGCAACTTATCACATCTTATAGGATTTCCAAGATCAATGAAGTTATGGTTTGAAGTGATAGATTGTGATCAAACATTAAACGGCACATCGATATGACCGATGGATACACCATTGTAATCTTAATGGTTTCTGACTTTTTATATCTACCTATATATGTATTTGTTTCTTTATTTTTATGTTAGCATATACAATGTCATTGTGGTCTATCAAAGGCTAATTCATCCACAGAAATACAGTCATCTTTATTTGTTAAAACAACAACTACTAATTCTTATTATCAACCACAACAGTCAATAAATTATCCATCTTTATCTAATCATACAATACAAGGCACATATCAGTCAAAAATAAATCAAAATCAATTTTATGAACAAAATAATCTTGATAGTTTCAATTATCCTATTCTTTCTTCGTCTTCTAATTGTTTATCGTTTAATGATAATGTTGTTGGTGTACAGACTAATATATCTGGACAAAATAAATCTACGTAAGTTTTGAAATCGGTTGCAATTACAAAAATTCATTCAATAAGATTGATTTTGTGTTAGATTTTATGTTTTTTACTGAACAGTTTTTATGATGCCCTGGTATGGCCGACAGTGGGGAGAGTCAACTCTCTCTCTCTCTCTCTAGAAATTCTCTCACATGGTCATGAGTATACAACCACTGTCAGGGAATTCCTATTCATTACCTTCTCGCGGCATTACTGTTGTTTACGAAATTGAGAGGATGAAAAGCGAATATCCGTCATTTTAACCCGGTTGGGGGATATGGAGGGTCTACCGTGGAGAGTTGGGAAACCCTGATTCCAAACCAATGGTGCACATGATCTCCAGGACCATTAAGGAACAAATGGCATTTTAGCCAATTGTTGGTCACCGGCTACCATATGTCTGCATCTCCTCACGATTCTCCACTGCCTTATGGACCAGACCTTTAGGTCGAAGGCTTCGGGTGTGGTACCCTAAGAAAACTACCTGTTTCAGTTTGGCCACCCGGGCAGTATCCCAGTCCTCACATCAATCGAATGATTTAGGTGATGCATGTATATTTGGTGCTTCCTTGTACCAATGAATCTCAGAGTCTTATAAGTAGTTACTGTATCATTAAAAGTTGGAAATACTACATATAGAAAGTAAAAGAAATGTAGTCCAAGGAGATCTTAAGACTATGAATCTAAGGAAGAGCAAAAACTGAGTTCATCTGTGCCATTGTAGTCGATTCGGAACCATTTCATCCAAGCTCCTGAATCACTAATTATATAAAATCACAGAAATACCACTTCACAATGAAACATAAAACCGATACTACCATACGTTATAGAGTCATGAGTCTGCACTGAAGAGGTGTCTCATATTAAGATATAACTAAATGAAATCAAATAAATGAGAAATTATTTAGAAATCAATATAAAAATCCAGACAAAATGTGTTGTTGAAAAGAAACGCACATGACTATCCTGGTCTGTCCGATTTTTTAGTGTCTTTCAAAAGATTGTCGTTTACAGTGATTATTTTCAACAAATTATTCAACAATATTCATCTTAATATGGTGATATGATGAAAGTTGATAAGATCCTTTTATTAATTCGTCATTGCCGACAATTTAACAAGAAAGTAATGTTTTTCTTTTTATAGATTCAACTTTGCTCCGCCTATATCATCACATCACGCCGATGTATTGCCATCATTTATTCCTCCTGTTCCATCCACAATAATGTCATCCTCCTCTTCAAATATTTACTCTTCACTGGGTTTACCACCTGTAAATTCAACAGATCAATCAAATCTATCATCGGCTAAACAATTTCCACCTGTTGTCGCACCACCTCTGCTAGATACCAATTATAACAATAATAGAAACTATCCTATAATGAATCATCGTTATGTACAACCTGTAAATAACAATAATCTATTAGGAACAGATTCAGTTTCTGGAAATAGGTAGAACACTTTCTTTTTTTTGCAAACGTTGGGATACTTGATAATTAAAGTGATGTATTTTGTGAATATTTTTCTGTGTAGTTTTTTAGTATAAATCAAACAGCTTTATTTGCATTAAACACGGTTGATTAGCATGTTCATATTGATTGTCCCAAAGATTATATTTTAGGGTTATTAGTTGCAGTTATCTATAGTGTGTTTTAAAAAAGATGAAGTGTGCCTAGTAATGAAATCCAAAACGCCCATTTTTTCCTACTTGAGGCTCGTCAGCTAGATATACCCACATCCCATTCACAACTGGAATTCAATACTGTTCACTTCAAATGCTATTGCATTATCCACTTTGCTACTGAGTGTAGATAGCTACTTATTTGTTCAATGGTTATGAATTGTAATGTAATTTGTAGTGGTTTTAGAATAATCTGGTTGTTATTATTTTCATTGAAATTCGATCATTCTTGGTTGTAATCCGGTTGAAAAGTTTCAAATTGGATGGAACGAGTGTCCTGGATTTCACTACTAACATTGTCAGCAGTGAAAAAAAACATTTGAGCGATTAGTATTTCTCCAGTAATTTGCTTTGTTGACATGGAATTCTTTATTTATCTATTGTCCATCATTATGTGGTTGTTGTTTACATATTTGTTTTGATTGTTCTTCTCTCTTGATTTGATATCTGACTATCCACCTCTGAAATTAACTCAATCTATGGGCCAGTATGATAGATGAAGAACACTTAGAATGTTAGAAATATAAAGAAAGTGTCAGATGGATGAGTACAACCAAAACAAGAATGTTTAAACCACGGCAACATGATTATAAACAACAACTAGTCAAATTGCAGGTCAACAGAACAAGTTGTTAGTCAATTTTTAAAAAAATATAGCTAATCGATAATGTTGTCTTAACGACTAAATATCATCTAGCTTATAGGAACACAACACCTGTAAAATCTCCATCCTAAGCTGCATTATTTTCGGTGGATAATTCTAACAAACATACTTACATACGTGTGTATACACTGAAAGATTTCATCTTTGATTTTTATTATTTAGTATGTCTACTGTGCTAAAGCCACCATTGCCTCCAATACTAGCATCATCAACGCAATCAGCCCAAATGAGTACAAATTTTGGACATAACTTTGGTGGACCAATGCCTCCTAGTTTTCAATCACTAAACAATGTGCCTTATGGTATCCCAACGCCCACTCCTCAATTCAACGTCCAACAACAACAACAGGAACACAATCAACAGCACATGCAACCACTACTACCAGCACCAATGCCAATACCACCACCACCCCCACCACAAACACAGCATCAATCATCAGTGGTATCACCAGGTTGGAATGATCCACCTGTCTTAATAACTGATAAACCACGTCAGGTATGTCGTTTCATTACTAGTGATATTAATTTTGTTGTTATTGTCTGTTCGTATTTCGTGTGGAATTCAGCTTTATACTAAATACTGATCGTAGAATGAGCATACTATCTATCATTCCCAAATTCCCTTGCACATCCGGGAGCGGAGACAATCCGCTCTCCCTCTCGAAATTCTTTCATACGTCCACACGTGTATAGCCACTACCAAGAAAGTCCCATTCACTGCCTTCTGGAGGGTAGGGTGATGTTTACGAAATCGAGAGGTAGAGTTGGTTTGGTTAATACGGTGAACTGACGGAGAGGAGTTCGAAAACCTTGATTTCAAACCAATGATACATATTGGTTCGAAAATTCTGAGAGAAGAAATAGTGTTGCTCCATTGCTTTGTGGATCAGACCATTAGATTAAAGACTTTGTAAGTGGTCTCTTAAAGAAACCATCTGCTTCGGTTTGGCTGACCGGCTAGTATCATACAAACTCAATGATTTGTGTGGGGTATATATAAGTTGTTTGATTGACAGTTGAGAGGTTAACCGATAAGCTGACTATGATGTTTTTAAGAAGCATTGATGTTGGTATCTGCAGGTCTTCCCATCATCTTCACCACTGGAATATATTTACTGTCTTGATAGTTATGTGTGCATGATTTGATGAAATATCATAAACCACGTTTTCAGGGTGTAGAATCTTTAGTTTCTGGTTATTCTGGATAACTTGTGAGGGTATATTGTCGGAAATTTCGAAGGTTTATGAGCAGGATCATATTTATAGTGATAGAACGAGTTAGATCAACTCCATCTTGTTCTCTGTATACTTTCGTTTTGCAAGACGCCAAACTTTTTTTGCTGCATATGCTGTCAAAACATTTTCTGTTATTTGTGTTCTTATGAATTGTTCGATATCTATCGGTCAGTTATTTTAAGTGTTTCACAAATCCTGCGTAAAAGTTGTGGCAGAAATTCCCTTCATGAAAAGTGCTATTATATCTAAGAGCTACACGAATACACTTAGTGTCTGTGTATTCTAACCAGATGTTTATATTTTATTTACAATATTTCTAGACAACTGTTTCACACAACCCTTATTATAATCCTATGGAATTTATTAGTGCACCTTTACCTCAAACGAATAATTCCGTATCACCGTCGAATTTTCCTCAACCAATGATGGAACTACACACTACTCCTTCAAATCCTCCTTTACCACCAAGTTATCCTGTTACTGGAATAAATGCATATCAACCTGTGCCACCACCAGTTCAAAATTCTATCTCACCTATAAATGCTGATATAATTCATCCTCAACAGCAACTACAGCAACCCTTGCCACTGTCATCAACCTATATTCAACAGCAATCATCATCCTTCATGAGATCGCCTGTTCAACAACCATCGTATCCACAATTACAAGGAGTATATCATCAACAAGAACACTACCCAAATCATTTCCAACCACCGATTGAACAAAATTCTCAATTTTCCACTATATCATCAACACTACCACCTATATCATCAGTTGTTCCACTGAATTCCTACACCCAACCTAATATTTGGCCTGCAGCTCAACCTTTATCTACTACCGTTAAATCTGGGATTATCAGTCAAACTATTATTGAAAATGTCATACCATCGAATTCTTTCACTTCTTCGAATGATGACCATACTGATGTACAATTATCACATAAGTTAGATTCTACAAGTTTAAACTCCGATCATAATAATGTTAATAATTATTCATTACCAACAGAATTTCAACCCATACAAAAAGTGTTCATTGACTTAATTGAAAATTGTCGTAAAGTTGGCGACAAAGTAAGTGTAATTTATGCATAATAATTGCGTTATTTGTTTTTCACTTATGAATCATAATTCAAACATGATGGCACAAATCTTGAAATATATAATAATCCTACTACTATTGTAGTAAAAAATCTATTAAAATTCACAATTGATTGATCATTGAATAGTGACTAGTGTCATGTTTGTCTAGTGATGATCAGTTTCTATTGATCCCAGCTTCAGTGTGATAAGTTGTCTATTTGACTTAACATTTTATGTGCTATGTCGTGATATTAAATGGTTGTAAGCATTCGAAATATAAAATTCGTTAACCTAGATTTCATCGCACCTCATCTCAAATTACAAAGTTCAAATGCCATAAAGATTGATAGTTCCTTCTAAACCATAGCTACTCCCTTCTTATGAGTGCCGACTCGCCCAAAGTGTAATTCTAAGGTTTCCTCCAGAGTACCTTTAATCATATAATGATTTTTCAATATTTCGAGTAAATTATCAGGTATAGATAAGCACTATTCTAATTAGCTTGATTTAATCATTTTTGGTTGTTTGAATATTCCCATTAATGTTTAAGACAGAAGTTGACCAGTTGCAGTCGTAAATATGAATCAGAAAATTTAAACAGCCAAATAAGAAAATGAATTAAACTTCACCTCATTGCATAAGCTAGTGGCTATTTGAACTCAATAGCTAAATGAATAGTGCGATAGCATTTGGAGCGAATGGTACTTTGTTTAAGTCCCGTAGTGAACATCAACTCTGGCTTTCAGGTATATTCAGATGATGAGTCCCAAAATAGGACGAAATGTGTGTCCTAGATTCCACTGCTAACCACCATTCATCTTTGCTTATAATAGCTTAATTTGTGTTTTCTCTTGCATTAAAATGAAATTGTCTTATTACCAGTACAAACCAAATTTTGATTTACTAAATTATAATGTTAAGCTTCTATTGATTAGTGACTTTTGGCGAGACTATAATTTATAGACGATTTAATCAGATTTAAGATATCAGGTCTTGAATTTTGGCTCAGAATTCCTTTATCCATTTGGTTAAATAGCGTTTTGTTATTTTGGCTGATGTCATTTCTTAATGAAAACCCTCAATCTAATTCCTAACGCTAACCATCAAGTGTAAATCGTAATCTTTATTCTTCAGACAGGTTTGTAACTTACATTTAGCTCTAATAAATTGGTAGGCATTCTCAAGGTAATTTCAGCGTCACTCAAAGGTTGTCCATAAATTATTGTCTCACCTAACTTTGATTAGTTCACAGTTATTATTCTTTTCTATTTTCATGAAATAGTAACATTATTGTCTGTTTGGTATGAACAACTATATAAATTATCGAATCTTATTTAATATTGTAGAAACTATGAAGAGTTTATGTCTTTAGACTTCATACTACTTAAATTTGCCCCCAAATGCCCTGGTACGGCCGAGAGTGGGGAGAGTCCGCTCTCCCTCTCGAAATGCTCTCACATGGCCATGCGTATATAGCCTCTGCCAGGGAAGTCCTACTCACTGCCTTCTCGTGGCGGGGGTGTTGTTAACAAAAATGAGAGGACGAAAAGCGAATGTCCGGCGCTTTAACCGGACCCCAAATCAAATCAATGGTGCACATGGGCTCCAGTATCCTGAAGGAACAAATGGCGTATGAACCAATCGTTGGTCACCGGCTACCATGGGACTGCATCTCCTCACGATGCTCCACTGCCTTGTGGGTCAGACGTTCAGGTCGAAGGCTCGGGGTGTGGCCCCCTAAGAAAACCACCTGCTTCGGTTTGGGCACCCGAGCAGTATCACAGCCCTCACACAAATCAAATGAGATTCGTGTGGCACATATGTATTTGGTGCCTCCCTGTACCTATACTTATGTGTTAAAATAAATAAATAAATAATACTATTAAATTGAATTGTTTAATGTAGAATGTATGTATATTGTGTATTTATTTATTTATTCAAATACGTAAGCATTGGTACAAGTAGGCACCAAATAGATATGCGCCACATTAATCATCCGATTTGTGTGAGGACTGGGATACTGCTTGGATGCCCGAATCGAAGCAGCTGACCTTCTCAGATAGCCACACCCGAAGCCTTTGACCTAAAGGTCTGATCCACAAGGTAGTGGAGCAACGTAAGGACCGCTTCATTCATCTTGGGAGTCTCATCAGCCCTTGTGGTCTGGTGTGAGACGAAATCTCAACACGGATACAGAAGGTTCGACTAGCTTTTGCCAATTCGCGTCTTTAATGGCTGTGAAACATGGCCGGTTAGACTGGAGGATATTCGTAGGTTACTAGTATTTGATCATAGGTGTTTTCAAAACATTGCTCGTATATCTTGGGAACATCGAGTAAGTAACGCAGTTGTTAGAAAACGGGTACTAGTTAAGAAGTGAAACTTAATCAGTTGAGATGGCTTGGACATGTGTTACGTATGTCCAACCACCGACTGCCCCGACGAACAATGTTTTGTGGTGTCTGAGTAGGTTGAAGAAAGCTAGAGGCGGCCAGACCAAAACATGGCACAAATCCATGAAGTCACTGACAAGTGGACTGAGCCATGCTGGTAGGTGTAGACTACCTGGTTGGGATCCGCGAGATGATAGCAACCGATGGTTAGAGATCTTGAATGAAATGGCTGAAAATCGTTTGCAATGGCGCAGGTGCATCGGTTTTTTGTGTTCTCCCAAATTATAGTCTTCTGAATTTTTCATGTCCCCTATTTTTTCTCTTTCCAAATTTATTTTTTTGGATTATACTCTTTTAATAACTTCTTTAAACCCTAATCTTTCCGATTATTGCTTATACGTTTTCCACCACTTTCACTATGTGACAACTACATCTCTGAGCTAATGTGGTGTGGCAACTCGAACTGATGTACGTACGTACGATGTTGCACGTTGTTACTGACTGACTGACTGGAGCAACGTAAGGAGTTGCAGTCCCATGGTAGCCAGTGACTAACAATTGGTTCATACACCATTTGTTACCTTAGGATTTTGGAAACCATGTGCACCATTGGTTTGGAATTAGGGTTTTCCAACTCCTCTAGGAGGACTCACCGTGTCCATTAACACGGTTAAAACGTCGGACATTCGCTTTTCGTCCTCTCAATTTCGTAAACAACAGTAATGTCTCGAGATGGTACTGATTAATACTTCCTTGACAGTGACTGTATTCGCATGGCCATGTTAGAGCATTTCTAGAGGACTGTACCGGGGCATTTGTGGTATGTATACATATATTTTTAATGATTTTGATAGATATTAACTGGTGATCAAGGAACAATAATTTCACATCTATTATATCGGCCACCTTTGAATTAGAATAATCAGATTACTTTTAGCAATTCTGAAGAAATACCGAAAATGACTGACAACCAACTGTATTAATAAAATTTCACTGATTTCTTAATTTTTAATGTAAAACATTTGAAGACAATTGGTTGAAGTTTTGATGGTAGACATTTCTTGTTTAATTGATATTTATCACAACAAGGAACTGTCACTTCCTTTGTTTTTATCTTCATACTATTTTATGATAATATCAGTCAATCAGTTGAATGATCTTCCATCAAGATATGATACAAACAATATTGATTTATTTAAACCATTGATTTTAATCACTAATAAATATCTCAGTAATTAATTATATACTGTGGTGTATGCTACTTATGCGAACAGATTTAAGTAGTATGTAGCAGGGATCGGAAGTAATATGAATAACAACTGGATTCAAAGTTGTATGTATGTATGTATGTATGTATGTATGTATGTATGTATGTATGTATGTATGTATGTATGTATGTATGTATGTATGTATGTATGTATGTATGTATGTATGTATGTATGTATGTATGTATGTATGTATGTATGTATGTATGTATGTATGTATGTATGTATGTATGTATGTATGTATGTATGTATGTATGTATGTATGTATGTATGTATGTATGTATGTATGTATGTATGTATGTATGTATGTATGTATGTATGTATGTATGTATGTATGTATGTATGTATGTATGTATGTATGTATGTATGTATGTATGTATGTATGTATGTATGTATGTATGTATGTATGTATGTATGTATGTATGTATGTATGTATGTATGTATGTATGTATGTATGTATGTATGTATGTATGTATGTATGTATGTATGTATGTATGTATGTATGTATGTATGTATGTATGTATGTATGTATGTATGTATGTATGTATGTATGTATGTATGTATGTATGTATGTATGTATGTATGTATGTATGTATGTATGTATGTATGTATGTATGTATGTATGTATGTATGTATGTATGTATGTATGTATGTATGTATGTATGTATGTATGTATGTATGTATGTATGTATGTATGTATGTATGTATGTATGTATGTATGTATGTATGTATGTATGTATGTATGTATGTATGTATGTATGTATGTATGTATGTATGTATGTATGTATGTATGTATGTATGTATGTATGTATGTATGTATGTATGTATGTATGTATGTATGTATGTATGTATGTATGTATGTATGTATGTATGTATGTATGTATGTATGTATGTATGTATGTATGTATGTATGTATGTATGTATGTATGTATGTATGTATGTATGTATGTATGTATGTATGTATGTATGTATGTATGTATGTATGTATGTATGTATGTATGTATGTATGTATGTATGTATGTATGTATGTATGTATGTATGTATGTATGTATGTATGTATACTTTAAGACAAGCAGTTGGTTTGTGTATAAAAATTAAATGATTCCAATGTTTCGTCCAACAAAATTGTCTGAACTTCTTCAGGCGATCAGCCAAAATATTTTTTTGATATTGATTACAAGCCTGAAGAAGTCTAAACAAGATTGTTGGACAAAACATAAAAATTATTTTTAAATTTCAATCATTGCGATTATTTCACATAAATAATTACTGCTTTATGCTATCATCATCCATCCATCAGTGGTGTACGCTACTTATACGAACAGACTTAAGTAGTATGTAGCAGAGATCGGAAGTAATATGAATAACAACTGGATTTAAAGTTTTATATATATATATATATATATATATATATATATATATATATTAGGACAAGCAGTTGGTTTATTTATAAAAATAAATTTAAATGATTCCAATGTTTCGTCTAACAAACTTGTCTGAACTTCTTCAGCGTAAAGAAGTTTAATTATTGTATTTTCATACAAATTGCATTCTGTCTTCATTGTTTACTGTTCGATCTTCTTGTCTCTCTGCTGCCAGACATTCTGTTTACAACTTACATCATATATTACTTATGTCTACATAAGTAGTACACATCACACTATCAGCACCCAATTATTCATTATTGTTTTATTTTATTATTTATTTAAGCAAACTCGTCATAAATTAATGGATGTTGAATATCGTTTAAATCAATTCTATAAGAACATATCTACTGGTCAATTACAATTAGATCATAATTCTATGGAATATTTACATATTTGTATTTATTCTATTCAATCTAATGATTATGTAAATGCATTACAACAAATAAATTTATTTATACAATCTGCTATACAATTATCAGATATTCAATATTATGGACCAGCAATAAAAAGATTAATACAAACTGCTAAACAATTATCTATTAATATGAACTATATTAATCATTGATCATTACATGGATCATATTGATGATCATGATGATGACGATGATGGTGTTGATGATGATGATAAGAATTCAACGGTGTCTAACACTTTTAATCTAATCTAATCTTATCTAATCAAATCTAAACATCTATTGAAGGATTAGAGTGAGTTTTTTTGTTGACTTAAAACTATATTAATACAGTTTAGTTATTCATTTGGCGATTAGATCTTTGTTTTCTCTCATTTTTTTCTGTTTTTCTTATTCTTTGTTATTTATTATGAAATATTTTTCGTCGTAGAAAATCCACTATCAGTGGTTAAATTCAAGTGAAGAAAGTGGGGGAGGGAGCGATGCGTTATATGATTTCTTTTTAAAAAACTTTGTTCATACATTTATTAAATGTCATTATGGTTATTAATTATGGGTGATGATAACTATTATGATTGTTACTATGCTATTATGACTATCATAGGTATATGTAGTGCATATGTTTTGTTTATGGTATCTTTTTTTTTACCATACTTATCTTTGCTTTATTGTTTACATTTATTCTGTTTATTTGAGATGTCTTTTGTTAAAACACCTATTAAACTTTCATGATACTAATCTCTTGTTTCCTTAATTAATGTCCTTGTTATAATTTTTGTTAAAATGTAATATGTACTGAATAGTTAAATAAAAAAAACTAATTGAAGCGTGGATATATATATATATATATATTACTTGATTGTCGTTTATATCTGTTATAATGGTCAATCAGTCATGAACATAGAATCTGGCACATATATGGATCTGTCCAAGTTGTCTCACTGTATCTTACTTACGACTGTTGTTCCCAATGGAATATAGGCCGCCGACCAGCATTGTCCAATCCACTCTGTCCTAGGGCTTTCTTTCTATTTTGTTCATTCTTCTCATGTCTTTCTCCATTTCTCAACGTAATGTTTTCTTTGATCTTCCTCTTCTCCTTTGACCTTGAAGACTCCAAATGAGGACTTGTCCTGTGACACAGTTTGGTTTTTTTCTCAATATGTGTCGTATCCACTTCCAGCGCTTCTTCTTAATATCTTCTACCACTAGAACTAGGTTTGTTCTCTCCCACAATCTCTCTATATCAGCTCTTTTAAATGAAATTATTTATAATAATGTCAGAGATTAGTAGAATTCGGAACATTAATCACTTGTAGTTTGTAAGGGTTCAATATAGACAATGTGATTCGTAGTGGAATAACAGTGCTATTAAATGAAATGTTATGGCTTGACACGCTAACACGATATCACATGTTAAATTCATCAATCGGAATTCTTATTGCAACTTCTATTCTGTGTCTAATATATTTTATAAACAACTAGTGTCATAGACTTGACTAACTATACATCTGATCTGTACCGTTATCCTTGAGTCAACGCGAGTTGCATTACTATTAGTTCGTTATACTTAAACCTATTTCTGTCTCTTTGCCTTGAGGTCGAAGAGAAGTCAGCAACCAGCTTATTATTATTATAAATTTCAAATATACGTTGGTTCGTATGCAAACATTCTGTGACACAATCTCATCATAAAATGAAAAATCAAATGATAAAGAATTTGAAAGTGAACGTATGAAGCTCTACTCGGTTACTGATCAATCGAAATCCAAATAATATAAATGAATAATTAAATATAGAAAATCCCAAACGTTTTAAAGCATATGCCCTCGTACGGCCAAATGTGGAGATAGTCCTCTCTCCCTCTCGAAATACTCTCTCATGCGTATACAGCCACTGTCAGGGAAGTTGTACTGTTCTCGTGGTTGGGGTGTTGTTTACGAAATCAAGAGGACGAAAAGCGAGTGTTCTCCACTTTAGTCGGGTTGTTGGACACGGAGAATCCATTTAGGGGAGTTGGGAAATCCTTATTTCAAACCAATGGTGCACATAGGTTCCAGGATCCTGAGGAAACTAATGGCGTATGGACGATTTATCGGTCACTGGCTACCATGTAACTGCATCTCCTTATGTCGCTTTACTGCCTTATGGATTAGACATTTAGATCGAAGGCTTCGGGTGTGACTCCCTAAGAAGACCACCTTATTTGGTCTGAGCACCCGAGCAGTATCACAGACCTCACACAAATCAAATGAGATTTGTGTGGCGCTTATGTATCTGGTACCCACTTGTACCAGTATTTATGTGTTCAACTAAATAAATCATCCCCACATCAATTCTGAAACAGTTTTATACACTTATATTTCATATGTTTGCTGTTCCTTCTCACAAATTATTTGCTCTATATTTAAAATTGTTTCACTAATACAAATATGGTAATGACCATGACTACAAAAAAAGTTTATGACAGCAGCTACGAATACAACTATTGACTGTTGCACTTTTCGGGGTTTCCCACCGAGAATATAAAGAAGCTAAGAAAACTTTTGCCTAAAGGTTTGTGTGACGATGTAGGATTGTTCAAAAGAGTTTGAACTGATAGAGTGAAGTGGTTATCAGCTTATTGAGGTCAAAGATTTCAAATAACTTGTTGCTGTGTCTAGAACGGGATTTTAATTCCATGTCGATATCGGGATTAATAGCGATGAGGCTGCATACCCGTTTTAAATGTAAGTGAATACAAGCTGGCTCTACAATGGAAGAGAAAGGTGTTGAGCTAATTTTTTCTAACAGACTAATTCTCGTACATGATAGCGATAGATACAGAAGGATTTGTCTTACGGGAAATACAACATTAGCTAGAGCATTGTGATAGATTTATGAGGCTTACTGTGCGTCAGTAGTTAGTGTATGCAAGCAAGGAATATCTGTGTTTCGAATGCTTGAAAGCTGATCATGTATTTGAAGATTGCACAACACCAGAAATTAGTAACCATTTACTGTTGAAAATTGATAATGGAAGTTGTAATGTAAGTCGAGTAAGCTGCTCAATTAGTTTCTCCAAATAGAAAAATGTTAGAATATTGGCTTAGCTACATATAGATTTTGCATGCTGTGTGAAATGGATAGATACAGTAGTGATAGCAAGTGTAAAATATACGAGCTAACTGCAATCAAGTCCGAGGAAATAAAGTTATTTTATGTAGAAGCCAATTCGGCTAGTCTTGATCAAGCGAATTAAGCATCATAACTAGTTCTTGTCACATCAGGTGGGCGAACTCTAGTGTTGATTAGCTAAGGTATAGAAGGCAAACTACTGCGGTAAACAGTACTACAGACCCAGGATTTGGAATTATATTTTAGAGTGACTATAACAAATGTGGTCGATTAGGCGTATCCGTGTACGTTCTACTTCTTTCATTGGTATGTATATCAAATTTTGCATCCAGTGTGGTTGTGTCTGCATTGTTACTTGTTTTCATTGATCTTGGATCAGCCTTTTCAATACAGTCTAATCCATTCAATGAGTCTATACTTGACAGTGAGGAAAATTTCAACTCAGGTTAAATTTCGGTAGTAAATGCCGAAGTTTATTTTTCATTAATATACTGTCAACGACTTAAACTATTTGGTTATGTTTGATTTTGTTAGTGCGGCCCCCATTGTTCGTCGTCGGGTATATGTTGTTTCGCAGTGATTGGCCTGGATACAAGTATTTTGGAAATAGCTTAAATGTTTTTGTTTTCAGATTATGTCGTCATATATTGTCTATAATAAGTTGATTTTTTATTCAGCTAGTTTTTGTTTTGGGATACATACATTTGGTTCTCGTCAATTTAGTTCTAGTGTGAACTACTTGCTTTGGAATTAGGCAAATCATAGTGCCCTAATTCTATTATGCATCGTCATACACATCAATAGTTTTAAGTGCCGACTAGATAAGAGTCTTCCTGTATGTTTTTCTTCGAATTCAACTTATGGCGTTATCAGTGAAGTTACTCGAAAGGAGCCATTGGTCCGGACATTTTGAATACTGTTGTCTCAAATCATCTAAAACTCTTCCAATCCGTGATACTACTCTGACAAATCCCATGCAAGCTTTGGTAACGGGTCCCAGGTAGTCAGCAGATATGATCAACTTACATTTTACCAAATAAAACCAGGACTCTCAGTCAAACTTCAAGCTCTCTATCTTTCTGCAGGCCTTGAACGAACCAGTATGCAGAGTTTTCAGATTTTAAATCGCATCGAGGTACTTTACGGAACCATCGATAACAGATTTTTCCATAAATTTTCTGTAACCTATGAATTTCTGATTACTGATAATAGACCATCTGTCACCGGTCTAAAAATGCTTCAAGTATATTTTTCCCTAATGAACTGCATAAAAACTTAGCAACTACCAGATTGCACATCGAGAAATTGTTCACAGCTTCGAAAATTGCATATTCTAATGTTGACACAGAGAATATTAATTCTTTGAAACTACAATCTGATTTATGGACGGTTCAATCAGTTCTAAGATTACGATTCTTGGATATTGTCTCATTTTGACATTATAAATGATGTTAGTTTGTGATAATAATCGTAATTCTAATTTTTACTCTTAATTTATAACTTTAACATCTAGTCTGTATTCTTCATATTAATTTATAACCCTATTTTGACCAGTAGTCAGTGGTTGAAATTCATCATACATACATCAATTAAAGAAATGGTCTTTTTATTTAATGAAAACTAATTCGAAGATTATTCAACACATATGTATCTATTATGTTCTTTCTGATTTGCATGGTGATCGATCCGTTTGTGACTGACAATCGGAGTATAATTCAAATCCGAAATGTATTTCAACTTATAAAACTGTTTTCTACTTTGAGAAAATTTTCTAAGGTCTTCTAGATAATCTTATCGTTACTTTCAACACTATGAAATATGTTACATGAAACGTCTAATCCAGGAATATAATTCTTTAATTTAGTCAAAGTACTATATTCACAAATTGAAGCTGCAGTTATAAGAGACTACAGATATAATTCACTATAACTTCAATCAAATACTATCAACTCTTTAGATAGTGATTGGAGGTAGTCGACAGGAAACCCCGAACTCGGGTTTCATGCTACTTGGCTCAAGGTATACATGTAGTCTTGAGGGAACTGGTGCTACCTGACGGATTCGATCCCGTGTTACCCAGCTTCACAGTCAGAGACGTTACCACTGAGCTATCCGGGATGCGACTCACCTCCTGTAGGACTGAGATGTAATCACAATTGATTGATCACCACGTGGTGATCAATGTCATGCTTGTCTAGTTCTTACTAGTGCAGATCGAATGCTATCGACCATGTTGCAATGTGACCACCAGTACCACGACACCCGGGTACAGGGTTTCCTGTTGATTACCTCCAACCACCATCTAATCTCACAATAGTGTCCTCAGTGTCGAGTCACTTAGACTGGTGGTCGATAGCGTTCGATCTGCACTAATAAGGACTAGACAAGCATGACATTGATCACCACCTAGTGATCAATCAATTGTGACTATCAACTCATTCACATGCATATATATATATATATATATATATACCCTTATAGGTTAAGGTAATTTTGTAATGGCTTTTAAGAGAACTAACTGGATATCATTCAAACTTTTACATGATAACTAAAAACATTAAAACTCAATCCTATTTCATAAGAGAGACAGACACCCACCACCACCTACTTGACTAGTACGAGTTCCACCACACATTATTCTCATTATGAAGAAAATAAAGAAAAAAAAATTATTTTTTAATCATTGCAATATAAGTTTTATTGAAAAGAAACTATTCACTACAAAAAAAAATTTACATAATTAACATAATTCATTACAAAATTTAATGATCAACATTAACTAAACTAATATTGATTAAAATAAATCAATAAACAATAATCAATAAATAAATAAATCAGGAAAATTTATGGATTATATATATTAAGATGTTTTAATTTTGCAGCGGAATTTCTTCGATGATATTTATAAATGATTCCAATAACAATTGTAATTAGTAAAATGCCAGAAGCAACTATGGTGATAATAATTCCGATATGAGCTGATTGAACTGATTTAACTAATGAGTAAATAATAATCATAATCAAAACAACAAGAAAGTATAATTAAATTCAGATTTATTTATTTATTTCAAACACATAAATATTAGTACAAAGAGTTACTGAATAGATATACACCATATAAATCATTTGATTTGTATAAGAATTGGAATATTGCTCAAGTGTATAAGCTGAAATATAGGTGATTTTCTTAAGTGATCATACCTGAAATCTTCAACCTAAAGTTCTGATCCACAAGTCAGTGGAGTAACGTCAGGAGATGCAGTCCTATGAGTATGCAGTGATCAATAATTGGTTCATGCGCTATTTATTCCCTGAGGATCCTAGAGCCCATGTATATCATTGGTTCGGGATCAGAGTTATCCAACTCCCCTAGATGAATTCTCCGTCTTCAACAATCCAGTTAAAGCACTGAACATTCGCACTACGTCCTCTCAATTTCGTAAACAACAGTAATGCCTCGAGACTAGGAGTTCCGTGGGAGGGGTTGTTTACGCATGGCCGTGTGAGAGCATTTCGAGAGGGAGAGGTGGCTTTCCCCATTGTCGGCCGTACCAGGGCTTTTGGGGGATTAGCTTATCAGGTATAAGATAATATGTTTTGGATTTTGGCGCGAAATTCATTCATTCATTTGGATAAATGGCGATTTGGTATTATAACTGATGTCAGTTCGTGATGAAAACCCTAAATCTGATTCCTAACCTCAAGGCCATCAATTATCAATCATAATTCTAATTCCACAAATTGGTTTATAATCCTTATTAGGTGAACCCATTCACGTAGAATTTTTTATAAAAAAACATCACCAACTGGTTCTTTATTCAGTTATTCAATACAAATCTATCATAGTAGTATGTATTATAACCTTAACGTAACTTACACAATCTGTTATATCAGTATTGGGTTGTGAAGATTATTATATTTTTTTGATCGCCGTCATGAACCGACTGATGTTAGACCGCAATTGAAATCTTGTAAAAGTACTGGACGGCCGTTTTGTTCTTTTGTGGGATTTCTCAACAGTGCTTACCCACGATCCCGCTCGCGGTATTCGGTTCATGATCTCGATCAAAAATATAATAATCTCCACAACCCCATACTGATAATTACCGTGTGCTCACTAGTAACTAGTTTCGTGAGAGAATCCTCGGAGTTCTAGTCAGAATTCTTGACCAATGGAGCTAATCCGTGTTAGGTAGAGACAAGTATCTACCTCAGTACAGTAGAAGATGGTCGCGCAATTTCGTGGATTGGTTGAGGTTAAACATTAACAGTGTGGGATGCCGAGCGACTCAACGGTCTAGAGGATAAGCGATCACGCGCGAGACCGAAGTCCTCGGGTTCGAATCCGAAAGATTGAATAAGGATTAATTAATTCAATGTCAATTTATCATTAATATTAGTATAACGAACGTTTCTATTATCTTAAGGTATAAGTTTAATCAAAATGTGTTTGAATCTTTCCATTAATGTTTATATCTGTAATTGGTCAGTCTCTCTTAATTGGCATATATGTATTCTGTGCTGATCGCGTCGATATTGATATTCAGTTCAAAAGATTATCAACAGAGATAGTATGTAATGAGTAAGATAAGAAGTGCACACACATCTACGTTTACATAAAAAATAGTCAAGGTTGATAAACAAACGAATAATTAAGAAGATCATGAAAATATATATCTTGAGAAGAATGAATGAATTGCTCTGTCCGAAAGTTAGAATAAGTTATGTTAACTTGATATGGTACTAGACACTACAAGCTAATTAAATAAGCATTAATATAGATTAATTTTATTGAGAAAAAGGAGACTAACCTTTTTTCGTACGTTTCTTCTTCTTCTTTATTACTTCTATATGATAATTAAATAAAAGTGATAAGAAAAGGGTCAATTTATAAAATGATCAATTAGTCTCATAGGATTACTACCCTCTCAGTGTATGCAAATAAACACTAACCAACAATAAAAATATGAAGTAATGTATTAGATGTGATACAAATAGTATGATTTAAACAGGAAATTGTGTACAATATAATCTGTGTGCCCTGGTATGGTCGAGAGTGGGGAGAGTCCGCTCTCCCTCTCAAAATGCTCTCACATGGCCACGCGTATACAGCCTCTGTCAGGGAAGTCCTACTCACTGACTTCTCGTGGCGGGGGTGTTGTTTACGAAAATGAGAAAACAAAAAGCAAATATCCGGTGTTTTAACCGGGTCCCAAATCAATGGTGCACATGGGCTAGCTCCAGTATCCTGCGGGAACAAATGGCGTATGAACCAACTTTGGTCACCGGCTTCTATGGGACTGCATCTCCTTACGATGCTCCACTGCCTTGTGGATCAGACGTTCAGGTCGAAGGCTCGGTGTGTGGTCCCCTAAGAAAACCACCTATTTCAGTTTGGGCACCCGGGCAGTATCACAGCCCTCACACAAATCAATTGAGATTTGTGTGGCGCATATGTATTTGGTGCCTCCTTATACCAATACCCATGTGTTAAAATAAAATAAATAAATAAAAGGCATAATAACGGCTATTTTTAATGGTAATCGTAGTGGTTGTGTTAATTGTATTCTACCTAAATCTTGATATTATAAATATCATCTGATCAAGTCATCATGAATATTCATGAATGAAGGTATAAAACGAAACTCACTTTTAGTTTTTGTTACAACCGTTTCTATATTTTGATTGAAAATAACGAGAAAAAAGATTAATTCATAGATAAATATGTTAGTTCAAAATGAGACAGAATTATGTATACCACAATCGTCCTAAACGTATATGCTTCTTTGACATAATGGTTTAACCTACTTACTTACTTACTTACGCCTGTTACTCCCAATGGAGCATAGGCTGCCGACCAGCATAATGGTTTAACTTACCTACCCTAATAACTCAATTGATCTGCATTGGCTAGAATACGTATCCTTTCATGTCCTATCATACCAGACAGGTAGATTAGAAAATGATAGGAGGAAAAGTAGAAAATTTAGGCTCGAAAATGAAGTCTTATTGTTGGCTGTATAGGGCTGTTGTAGATGATAGATATATTCTTCAGATAATCAACATCTAAAACGATATTGATTTCTTCCAAAGATATATATATGATTTTGTTTCGTAGGCCTTTATTTATTTGATTTTCCTAACTCTTTTTCTATCAATTTACCAACCATTCATTTAGTCAAATATCTTAATTGCTTTTTTAATTAATTCCCCGAACGACTATAAGTTAGACAGTGAAAATCTCGGGGAGCTGGATGTCTGTTTCATTTTTGTATAAGACTCCTTAACAGTACACACCCACAATACTACAACCGAGAATTAAACGTAGAGTAAATGATATCACATACAAACTCTTAACTTATAAACCACTGAATTGAAATCTGAGAGTCTTAAAGGCTAACGCTAATCAGTGGACTATAGAATAAGATCATCCTCGATTATTTTCGGTCAGTGATGTCATTGTATCATCTTGCTTTTGAGATAGTCAGATATACTTAGTTTAAAATGAAAAATTTTTTTTTTTTACTAACTTTTAGTTTCCACATTAGATAACTTCATTCCAGATTGTCGTCTGATTTCTCAATACCAGAATTAATAATATTTGTAAATGTTTCTGTAGTTAATTCTTTTGCTTGAGAAGTTGGAATTTCTATATTTGCTGTTCCTTGAATACCTTGTTCTGTATTTTGATCTAAAGTCGCATTTACTTGTCTTTTCTGACGGTTTAAGGATTCAACTGGTGTGAATATAACATTAGTACATTTTGTATCGTTTGACAATGATGGATCTCCAAGTTTCAAACTATTTAATATCTGTGAATTTTATACAAAATAGATAACAAATTACTAATTGACATTTTAATCAATCAAAGAATTATTGAATTTTCAGAAAATTATAGGTGACAATAATTCTTGTACATTGATCATATGTACTAATCAGTAATCATTACTACTATAAATATATTATTTATTTATTTATTTATTTGAACACATAAATATTGGTACAACAGGTCACTAGATATATATGCGCCACACAAAAAAATGAGAATGAAAAGAGAAAAAAAAAGAAAGAAGGTAAGGAGTGCAAAAAAAACAAGAACAATAACGACCAGATTAGTGTAAGGTAGGGTAATAATAATAATAATAATAATGGGGGAAACAGAAAGGTGCAACCTGGAGAATTCCTTCAATTAAGGAAGATACAACCACTTTTTATGAAGAAAGTAAAAGAACTTTACAGCAGGATCGCCACTAGCTTCTATTCTGAGGCATGTCTGATAACATCTTTAGCCACTGTGTTGCACCATCTCCAGGACCCCAGCCAGGGAATCGTGAAGGACCAACAGATGCCAGTCCTGTGCAACTTTATTTCATACCACGACACTATGTCATACACTGACCACCTCTCCGCTTTTTCCAACCAGTCCCAGTGTCGGCAACTAATACACGGTGTGAAATTCTCTGGGACGACATTCGTAGAACATGTCTAAGCCACCAAAGTCTGTGTTTCAAGATGGTGACACCAATTGCATTATCGTTTCTGTGCCCGAACACACAATACCGAACCTCTGCATTACCAACATGGTGTTGCTACTGGATGTCAGCAATCCTTCGGAGACAGCGATGATAGAACACAGAGAGTCGTTTAACATCCTCAACTCGGAGAGGCCAGGTTTCACAAGGATAGAGCAAAACTGCTCTTACCGACGCGTTGTAGATCCGACCTTTTACAGCCAGACTAACATCACGAAGGCGCCAAAGATGACCCACATTGGCATGATCCGCTCTGTCTTTCACTATACGTGAATTGATCTCATCACTCACGCCACCACCAGCACTTATGCAGCTACTCAGATACACGAACTTCTCGACTACTTCTATCTGCTCACCATGCACGATGAGTACAGGATTAAAATCTTGCCAGTCTTGTAGAAGTACTTTGCACTTCAAAGGTGCAAAGCACATACCATACCTACGGACATTGATTGCCAACTGATTAAGTGCGGATTGCATGGCTTGGACATTATTGATAAGTATGACGGTATTCTAACATATGATGGAGGGTGAAAATATGATCAATACATCCTCGACCAGAACGAATATTACTATTAAATAATCAATTTGTCTGTGAAATTCGCACACTTTCTTTCAAATCTAGTGTCGATGATATCAGATCATAATTCATCAGACAAGTATGACTCCTTTAAATGAATATGAAATAAACTTATAACTGATGAAACCTCTTAATTGAAGAAAAAAAAAGAATTACTAATTTTGAGTAATGAATTGTAGAGTTTGTTACGTT